TTTCTGTGTTGCACCCGCAAAGCCAGTGGCTGAAGACACAGCTGTTGATTCCGCTGACACAGCTCTTCCCATCTTGAGAAAGTTGGACTACAACTCCCATCATCTCCCCATGCTTTGGAATGCTTGGGAGTTTGTGCCACGCAGGACGAAGACGATGCCAAGCCATTGTGCCGGTTCGGCTGGGAATGATAGGCATTGTAGTATCCGGAGGCCCCCCCCTGGGCTTCTGCAAAGTTTTCCGAGCGAAACCCTTGTTGTTTTTCTGGAAGCATTTTTTATTTTACTTTTTTTTGGGTGGAGGAGAGCCGGGAGCTGCCAGAGCTCGTATTTCTCTTCTTTTTCCCTCTCCCCCTCTTCTCGCCCCGTTCTGTTCTTCCTCCTTATAAGGTTTGGGAAACGATAAATATTTGAGCTGTAAAACGGAAAAGAAAAGGGGAGGAGGAAGGGGAAAGAAAAAGAGAAATAGGCTGGGGTTTGAGTCACGAGGAGCCGTCGGCGTGGACTAAAAAGGAAGGAGGAACGATGGAGGGAAGTTTGCAAAGAGACAGAAACTCCAGCCTCCTTGGGGTTGGAGGGGGGGGTGTCTCTTTGAGTGGGGGGGGCTCAATTTCCTTGCAAACGAGCCCCGGCGTCTTCCTATCCCCGCGCTCTGCTCCTGGTGCCACTCGGGTTGCCCCGACTGGGCATGGTTCGATGTGGCAAGCCTCGGGCAGGAGAGGCTCAACTTTGCAACACCGTACGGCCCAAGTCTGGCTTTGCGAGAGACGCCGGGGCTGAAAGCCAGGCTCCTTGGCGAGGCAGGTTTTGGTAATTAAATTTGGCAGACTCCGCATGTTCTGAGACGCCACGCCTAAAGCGCTGCCCGGAAGGAAGGCCCCGGGATTCAGCCTTGGCTCCAGGGAGCGTCCAGATCTCTCTCCAGGATGGAGAAGAGCACACCTGGTTCTTTCTGCAGGGGGGGGGGGGAATGCCTGTCAGCCTTATTTGAAGTTGCCTGCATCCCCCCAGCCATTCTGGGATCTGCAAGGCAGCTGTCAATACTCGTTTTGCAGAAAATTTCGACCATTTTCCAAAGCACTTGAAGGCAACAGATGGAAACTATTCAAGGAGAGATCCAATCTTGAATTAAGGAGAAATTTCCTGACAGTGAGGACAATTAACCAGTGGAACTGCTTGCCACCAGAAGTTGTGGGCGCTCCATCCCTGGAGGCTTTTAAGAAGAGACTGGACAGCCACCTGTTTTGAAATGGTCTCCTGTTTGTGCAAGGGGTTGGACTAGAAGACCTCCGAGGTCCCTTCCAACTCTGTTATTCTACTCGACTTAACAACAGTTCACTTAGTGACCGAAGTTTACAACGGCACTAAAAAAAAGTGACTTGTCGTGACCGTTTCCCACACTTAACGACCGTGGCAGCATTCCCCCATGGTCGCGTGATTTTCAGTCAGACAACGGATTCACACTTATGACGGTGGCAGTGCTCCGCAGTCACCTGGTCCCCTTTTGGCGACCTTCTGACGAGCAAAGTCAGTGGGAGAAGCCAGATTCGCTTAATGGCCGTGTGACTAATTTCACAACTGCACCGATTCACTTAACGGTGGCAAAAAAAGCCGTAAACGGGGGCAAAACGCGCTGAACGAATGTCTCACTGAGCAACATAAATTCTGGGCTCCGTTTAGCGACCGTTCAAAGTGGCACTGGGGGAAAAAAGGGGACTTATGACCGCGTTTCAGACTTACGACCCTTGCGGCATACCTTATAGTCACATGATCAAAATTCAAGACGGTTGGCAGCTGACTCAACTTTATGACAATCGTAACGATCCCCTTTTGCGGACCTCTGACAAGCAAAAGTCAATGGGGGGAAGCTGGATTCACTTAACAAATGTGGCAAGAATAAACTGAATAAACCCATTTTTGGGGAAAAAGCTATGCCAACCACACCCTAATTTTTAGCCAGGCTTCAAATGAATGTAGGAAGTGGAGCAACGTAGCTAGGCAAGCACCCCGTGCAAATAAATTTAATAAGTAAAATAAATGAATATTAAGCTTTTGCAAGGTTGTGCGAAGCAAGCCAGAGAGAGGGGGGACTCTCGGTTTCCACCCCCAGATCTAACCTCGACTGAAATCTCTTCTGCGATGGCTCTGGATGAAATTGAACGGAATTCAGGGAGAAGGAAAGTATGTGGTGAATCCAGATCGGATTTCTTTAGCGACCAGATTTAAACCCAACACCTGACTAGATTAATGACTTTCCTACCCCCCCCCCTTCCAACCCAGCTAAATTTAGCTTTTGGCCACTGGCGACTGGCGAAATGAGAGAAGCATCAGATCGCTCCAAGCAACAAGGAGATGAGGAGAAAGGACATTGCTGGGAAATTGAAGTTCATAACGTAATCACTACTACCGGGGAGAAGGGTTTCTCAACCTTGACTTTAAGATGTGTGGACTTCAACTCCCAAAATTTCCCACCCCCATACATAACAATTATTGCAATAATTGGGGTATCAAAAAATCTACCATGCTTACAATTTTAGAAGGTTCCTTAGAATCTCAGAAGATTCCTCGGAATCTCAGAAGGCTCCGTAGGAGCATAGAAGCTTCCTTGGAATCTTAGAAGGTCCCTTAGGATCTCAGAAGCTTCCTTGGAATCTTAGATGGCTCCTTAAAGGTTTCCTCAGACCCTTAGAAGCTTCCTTAAGTACTTAGAAGATTCCTTAGGATCTCAGAAGGTTCCTTAGGAGCATAGAAGCTTCCTTGGAATCTTAGAAGGTCCCTTAGGATCTCAGAAGGTTCCTTAGAATCTCAGGTTCCTTGGAATCCCAGAAAGTTCCTTGGAATCTCAGAAGCTTCCTTGGAATCTCAGGAGGTTCCTTAGAATCTCAGAAGCTTCCTTAGAATCTCAGAAGGTTCATTGGATTCTCAGAAGGTCCCTTAGAATCTCAGAAGGTCCCTTAGAATCTAAGAAGGTTCCTTAGAATCTAAGAAGGTTCCTTAGAATCTTAAAAGGTTCCTTAGGAGTATAGAAGATCCCTTAGAATCTTAGAAGATTCCTTAAGAACTTAAAAGAGTCCTTAGAATCTCAGAAGTTTCCTCAGGAGCGTAGAAGCATCCTTAGACCCTTAGAAGCTTCCTTAAGTACTTAGAAGATTCCTCAGGATCTCAGAAGCTTCCTTAGGAGCTTAAAACCTCCCTTAGACTCTTAGAAGTCTGGCTGGGGGCAGATGAGGGAGACGTGCATTTCCGCCGGGAAGTTAACAGAGCCAGGCTCTTGCAACACCCCAGTGCCACAACCGGGTGCGGCCCAGCCCTTCTCCCGAGGCGGTCAGGAACCTCGCCCACACACGACTGGGAAGGCAGATAAACCCTGGGCTGGACAGGAGCTGGTGCACAGCCCTCGGTCTGGTTGCATGCCAAGCTTTTGTGACGAGCTCCCTGAGACGGAGAACAGAGAACATAGAATAAGAGAACTGGGATCTTGGAGGTCTTCTAGTCCAAGGGTCAGCAACCCGCAGCTCTGGAGCCGCGTGTGGCTCCTTCATCCCTCTGCTGCAGCTCCCTGTCGCTCAGAATATGAGTTGCAACTATTAATGTGCGACACCCACCAGCACATGATTTATTGAGCTTTTTTTTTTGGTAGGCCAACCATGGATAAATCCAAGAAAAGTTTCAGAAGAAAACAGAACGTTTAATTCAACTCCATATGCTAGTTTTTTGGCCGCTCAGGAAATAACCAGGCACGGGAAGGGTTTTTGTGACTCCCGGTGTTTTCTTTTCTGTGGGAAACGGGTCCAAATGGCTCTTTGAGTGTTTAAGGTTGCTGACCCCTATTCTAGTAGAACCCACTGCTCAAGCAGGAGAGCCTATTTACACTATTATTCTGGAAAAACGACGGTCCGTTCTTGAAAAGTGTGATTGTGATCAAGAAGAAGTGTATGATTGTGCAATGCAATGCACCAAGAGCCTTGGTAGTACTAGGGTTTAAGGCACCCTGTTATTAAGCTGCTTAAGACCAGCTGCCTGCAATTACTGCAGGGTTCGAATCTCGCCAAGGCTCAAGGTTGACTCAGCCTTCCATCCTTTCTAAGGTAGGTGAAATGAGGACCCAGTTTGTGGGGGCAATAAGCTGACTTTGTATAAATATACAAAAGGATGAAGGCTATTGCTGAGCACATTGTAAGCCGCCCTGAGTCTTCGGAGAAGGGCGGCATATAAATCAAATTTAAAAAAAAAAAAAAAGGGGGGGGGTCAGCAGATGGCCGCCTCAGGCCCAGTTTGTTCCTTTCCTCGTTTCTATAGCCCCTGCCCAACCTCTAGGTCAGTGTTTCTCACCGTCCACAAGTTTAAAATGGATGTTAAGTTTTAGATTAACCAATTTTGTTGTATACATGATGTTCGATGACAATAAAGGCTATACTATACTATGGACTTCAACTCCCAGAATTCCCCAGACATCCCATGCTGGCTGGGGAATTCTGGGAGTTGTAGTCCACCCATCTTAAAGCATGCTGGCTGGGGAATTCTGGGAGTTTTAGTCCACCCATCTTAAAGCATGCTGGCTGGGGAATTCTGGGAGTTGAATGCCGGTTGAGGAATTCTGGGAGTTGTAGTCCACCCACCTTAAAGCATGCTGGCTGGGGAATTCTGGGAGTTGAATGCTGGCTGGGGAATTCTGGGAGTGGAAGTCCACCCATATTAAATCCTGCTGGCTGGGGAATTCTGGAATTTTAAGTCAATGCCTTTTAAGACTTTCAAGTTGAGAAGTACTGTTCTAGAAGAAATTGTAAAATTTCCCCCAAATTATGATTGCTTGTGTTTGTGTATATTATGTGTGTGGGATACTACTACAAAGCCTCTGGAGCTTCCCATTGGTTACATCCCATGAACCTGCTCCCCGTTTGCTAATTTCAACCCCAACCACCAATGAAATCTTGTGGACTAGTGGCTTGGTCATTATTGGTTTGGCGTTTGTGGCTGATGGTTTTTCTCTCTCCCAACCACAGGCAACCAGACAAGCTAATTGTGGTTTGGACACGGAGGAACCGACGGATTTGCTCCAAGGTGATTTTCTGCGTTTAGAGGGGGATCAGATTAAAAGCGATTTCTTTTATCTGCGGGATGAATCGCCTCAGACCTCAAGACGAGCGGCATATAAATTTAATCAATAATAAAAATAACAATGAGCTCAAACGTCTGACTTGGGTGAACCATAGACAATAGGAGAGGTCTCAAATACGACTTACAACAGTTCATTTAGTGACCCTTCGAAATTAGCGACGGCAATGAACAAAGTGAAAGAAGTCACCATTTTTCAAAATTACAACCGTTGCATGGTCATGTAATCAAAATTCAGACTCTTGGCAACTGGCTCATATTTATGACGGTCGCATAAAAGTGTCCTTTTGGCAAGCGAAGTCCATAGGGAAGCCAGATTCACTTAACAGCCGTTTGAATAACTTAAACAGTTGCAGTGATTCCCTTAACGACTCAGGCAGGGAAGGTCGTAAAATGGAGGCAATAGTCCCTTAGCAAACGTTTGACTTAGCAACGTACATTTTGGGCTCAGTTATGGTTGTAAATTGAGGACTACTGTATATTATGTGTTGGGGGGGCGGTTTAAATTTTTAAGCTCTTTTGTTTTGGTTGTTGGCAGGCTCACAGCTGGCAACCGGGCATCAAGAATCCTTACCGAGGCGAAGTGGTATGGATGGTGCCAGAAAACGTGGACATTATGGTCACGCTTTATCGGGTAAGAAAGTTGCGTCGTCTGACCGGCGGCGTCTCAGAACGAGGATTCCCATCGGCGGATTTAAGAAGAGAATTCCTTTCTTGGGAATCTCATTCACACATTGCCTTCAGCCGTGTTTTGCCAAGTGAGGCAGAAGGACGAAAAAACCACCACCACCACCACCACCCCAAATCACCACTGAACTAATTACCATATTTTTCTGACTATAAGACGCACCTAGATTTAGAAGAGGAAAACAACAACAAAAAAGATTTTGGCCTCCGCACGCCACATTTGTGGCCCTTTTGCTGAGGCTTTTTTTGGGGCCTGTTTTTGAGGCTTTTTTCATCCCGTTTTTGGGGCTATTTTCAGCCCAATTTTGAGGCTTTTGTCAGGCCAATTTTGAGCCTCTATTCAGCCCGTTTTTGAGGCTCTTCTCAGCCCGTTTTTGAGGCTTTTTCGGCCTGTTCTTGAGGCTCTTTTCAGCCCGTTTTTGAGGCCTTTGGCCCGTTTTTGAGGCTTTTTTCAGCCCATTTTTGAGGCTTTTTTGGCCTGTTTTTGAGGCCTTTTTTAGCCCGTTTCTGAGGGCTTTCTTAGCCCATTTTTGAGGCTTTTTCAGCCCATTTTTGAGTTTTTTTTCAGCCTGTTTTCAAGGCTTTTTTAGCCCATTTTTGAGGCCTTTTTTGGCCCATTTTTGAGGCTTTTTTCAGTCCATTTATTAGACCATTTATTCAGTCCATTTGTGAGGCTTTCTCAGACCATTTTCATGGCTTTTTCGGCCTGTTTTTGGGGCTTTTGTCGGCCCGTTTAGACCGTTTATTCAGTCCATTTGTGAGGCTTTTTCAGCCCATTTTCAAGGCTTTTTTGGCCTGTTTTGGGGGCTTTTTTCAGCCCGTTTTTGAGGCTTTTTTGGCCCGTTTTTTTGGCTTTTTTGCTTGTTTTTGGAGCTTTTTTTCGGCTCGTTTTTGAGGCTTTTGCGTGTCCAACGCACCCCAGAAAACGGGCAGAATTTTAGCCATTTTTAGTTGGCAATTATTGCACCGAATTGCAATAGGGCAATAACGAGGTGGGGGCCCCCTTTCGCAAAAGAGCTCTTTCCACATAGGAAAAAAAGTTAAATTTCACAATTAGGAGCTGCGGCTGCCTTCCCTGTCAGCGGTCTGGAAAGATACCTCATCAAAGGAGCCAAAATTAATTTGGATTTCAAGAAGGGGGTTTGTTTCCTTCCTAGGAGAAACTATGCATGTATAGCCTATTGAAGAGAAGGATTAGGGGTGACATTCAGTATTTGAGGGGCTAGCACAAGGAGGAAGGGGTAAATTTATTTTCCAAAGCACCTGAAAGCAAGACAAGAAACAACTTTTTTAAAAAAAGGTGGGGTCCAATCCAAGAAGAGACTGGACAGCCACTTGTCTCAAATGGTATAGGGCCTCCTGTTTGAGCCGGGGGTTAGACTAGAAGACCTCCAAGTTCCCTTCCAACTCTTGTTGTTCTAATAAATTGCTGACTCCTCATCCTTCTGTATTTCAGGACCCTCACGTGGAAGAATACGAAGATAAAGATTGGACTTTTGTGGTAGAAAATGTGTGTTTCAAATCTTGGATTTGATTCTGGTTGTGCTCAGATAAAGGATGGGGAGATTTTGTAGCAAAGTTGGTGGGAAAAAAAATCCTTTTCTGGAAATTGGCCTTGGATCTTTCGTTGGCCAGTATTTTTTTTTTTTAAATCAAACGAAGAGTTTCTCATACACTTTGATTATCGGTAGTCCTCGACCTATGACTCCAGTTGAGCCCAGAACTATGGTCATAAATTGAAATGTATTTTTATGCAACAACTGCAGTATTCTTCAGCCAGTAGATGGCAGTGTTTTTGAGTTTGGATCTATGGTATTTACTCTATGCTCCTTTGTTCTAAGTAGAGTTTCCTGTTTCCTGTTACAGTTGAGCAGTTAAGCAGTAACGCACATGGTGACTGTACTCTTTGTCTGTAGTGCTATATATAAACAGAATTTCTAACATAAGTCATTATGGTTTCTAAGTGGAGGCACTCATATGACCAGAAATAGATTTCCAGCCTTTTTTCATGATGGTCATTAAGTGAACCCATTCATTTGAATAAGCGTTACAACATTGCAAACTGTTGTAAATACATGCTGGCTTCCAAGTGCCTGAATTTTGATCATGTAACTGTGAGGACGCTATAATAGTCATAAGTGCGAGGACCTGTCCTAAGTCACTTTTTCCAGGGCCACTGAACCTTTGAACAGTTGCTAAATGAATTATTGTAAGTTGAGGAATACCTGTACATTTTGGCAATTGTTTGGGAAGAAATATAGAAAGCATCAAGGTACTTTTTAAAATTAATTCTTGACTTCCTTTTAAAATCTTTTGTTGTTGTTGTTCTTTGAGACAAGGATGGCTGGAACCCACAAAAAGTCACTTCTAAACTGTGGAACTCCCTGCCACTGGAAATCCTCTTTCCTTCTTCCCAACTTTTTCACACAAATTAGATGGATTTTAAAGCCTTCCTCAGAAAGCTTATTTAGACATCCATTTAACAGCTTAATTTTCGTTTCGAACCAGCCTTGACGGGGAGTGATTTCTGCTTTTATAACCGTTTGGGTGGGGGGGGGAGGAAGATTTCAGTCTTGTGTTCGAACGGTGACCTGGGGTGCAGTGAAAAATGGGCGGGTGAGAGAGGAATTTACAAATTTAAAATTTGCAACCGGTGAACTCTCGTAACAGGAATCAAAGGGGCAACGTAAGGTCCTCGCCTCGGTCGACGTGAACCTCAAGCGCTTCGCCAGCCAGATGCCCAATCAGGTGGACTTGAACCTGAAGCTGAAGCCCAAGTCGGTGAAAGTCGTGGCCGCGTCCCTCCAGCTCACTCTCTCGTGCGTTTTCTTGCACGAGGGAAAAGCCACGTGAGTAGTCCCGGAGCAGGGAAAAACCCTTCTTAGAAACTGGGACCTTTATTCTCCTTTTGTGTATAGGTAGTCCTCGGCTTATGGCCACAACTGAGCCCCAAATTTCTGTTGCTTAAGTGAGACAGTGGTGAAGTGGGTTTTACCCCATTTTACGCCCTTTCCTGCCCCGGTTGTTAAGTGAATCAGTTTAGTGATTCAGTTAGTCATACGGTTGTTAGGTGAATCCGGCTTCCCCATGGACGTGGCTTGTCAGAATGTCGTAAAAGGGGATCACATGAGCCTGGGGATACTGCAACCGTCATAAATATGAGTCAGTTGCCAAGTGTCCGAATTTTGATCACGTGATCATCGGGATGCTATAATGGTCATCAGGACACTTTTTTCAGTGCTATAGTAACTTCCAACAGTCACAAAATGAATGGTTGAAAGGGAAGGACTACGTGTATGTGTGTGAGAGAGAGAGAGAGAAAAGGAGAAAGAGAAAAAGAAAGTTTTGGTCTAGTAGTTAAGGCACCAGGCTGGAAAGTGGGAGATGGTGAGTTCTAGTCCCATCTTAGCCATGAAAGCCAGCTATGTGACTTTGGGCCAGTGTCTCTCTCTCTCAGACCACTCACAGGGCTGTGGTTGTGGAAAAATACCGTGTTCCCCCGAAAATAAGGCCCTGTCTTATATTTTTTGTACCCTGAAATAAGCGCTTGGCCTTATTGCCATGCACTCAAAAGCCCGATTGGGCTTATTATCAGGGGATGTCTTATTTTGGGGGAAAACAGGGTAGGAGGAAGAAAAAGTGTTGGATATGTTCACTGCTTTGAGTTATTTGCCAAAATAATAAAGGCAGAATATTAATAAATAGGATAGGATAGGATAGGATAGGACAGGACAGGATAGGATAGGATAGGATAGGATAGGATAGGATAGGATGATTGATAGATAGATATAGATAGATAGATAGATAGATAGATAGATAGATAGATAGATAGATAGATAGGCAGGCAGGCAGGCAGGCAGGCAGACAGACAGACAGACAGACAGACAGACAGACAGACAGACAGACAGACGATGGATGGAATGGATAGGATAGGATAGGATAGGATAGGATAGGATAGGATAGGATAGGATAGGATAGGATAGATAGATAGATAGATAGATAGATAGATAGATAGATAGATATTGAATTCCCACACCACACTGGAAGGAAACGCACAAATTAACTTCACCAAATTAACCATCCTAAGAACTGAACCAAAAAAGCTTCAGAACAACACTGCTTTTATCCCGTCCGGTGTGAAGCCTGCTCTAGGATGTTTTGGGAATCCAACCATGCTGGCTTTATCCCAAGGGAGAGGAGAAGGGGATAAAAACACACAAAAAAACGATGCTGGGTCTGGTTCTTAGGACTGACTTCTTCTCTTCCCCCCTCCCAGGGATGATGACATGCAAAGCCTGGCCAGTTTGATGAGCTTCAAGCCATCCGACATCGGCAATTTGGAGGACTTTCCCGAAAGCGACGAGGAGATGGACGAAACCTCGAAACACGGCCGGGCGGAGGATGCGGTGGGCCATACGGCGTCCTCTCAAGGTGGGGAGGGCGTCTCCTTCCAGCCCTGATATTTCCCTTCTCCCTGACTCGTTGTTTGTGTTGTGGCCCGCCAGCAGCCAGCAGAGCTGGCAGCAGAGTCGGACAGCGAGGAGGTTGGGGAGGAATTTGGGCCAGTCCTGGAGGGGCTGGGGAAAGCTTGGATGAGGGCTCTGCATCGGAGACAGAGAGGGAGCCAGACAGCAGTGAGGCAGAGGAACAGCTGGAGCCTGTTCCCAGTGTGCGCATGCGCAGAGCTGCCAGAAGACAAGAACAACTTAGAAAGCAGGGTCGACTCGGGTGTAAAGCCACACCTTGGAGGTGATTGGCCCCTCCCATAGGAAACAAAAGAGGAGCGAACGGGGAGTGGGCTTTTGCAGGAAACAATTCCTTCGTTCCGTGACTCTGTGCCAAGTTTTGCCTTGTACTGTGTTTGGAAACAAGTTACGTGGCAGCTTTCCAAGCGAGATAAGGTCTGTGTTGATAAGTATTCCTCTGAAAGACTGTTTGGACAGGCCTTGCTGACTGTGAATGAAAGGAATTCACAGTCGTGTAAATAAAAGGGGTTTTGTCGGGACCAAGACTCTGCTTCCTGCTTTTTAGGGAAGCCTAGATCCGAACACTTTCTCACTCTTAGCCACTTTAAAACATCTGGACTTCAACTCCCAGAATTTCTCCACCAGCATTAGCCAGTAGTCCTCACTTAACAATTTGTCGGCCTTTACCAGGTAGACCCCCAGACAGAAAACACGACCTTTGCTTTGGAAAATAACCCGAGAGGATGATCCCGTGCTGAACCCTGCATGACACGCGCGTGATTCTCTTGGATTATCTTTGATCCCCTTAAGAGCGATTGGAGGAGACGTTGACGGAAAGCGAGATTAACCCAGTGTCCCTTCTGCAATCGTCCCAGCTTCTGCTCGTCTTTTGCTAAATGCCTTCTTTCACACTCCACAGCTCTGGCGTCGGTTTACGGGTCATTTTTCCACCTCAACTTTCCCTCTTTTTTCCTTTGTCTTCCTGTCTCTCCCTTCCCTGTTCAGGATGCCTCAAAAACGTTGCGATGAATTCTTTCGCAGGTAGGCCATCCCAGGTTTGCAAGGCCTGTGCTTGAGCGTTGCATAATCCGGACAAAATCGTGCATGTTTAGCGGGGGTTGTAACTATTGGCACAGTGGCCATTTGCACTAACAGGTAGTCCTCGACTTAGGACCATAATTGAGACCAAGATTTCTGTTGCTACGTGAAACGTTAAAAGTGAATGTCGACCCATTTTACGATTTTTCTTGCCACCGTTGTTAAGTGAATCACTGCACTTGTTAGTCACACGGTTGTTAAGTGAATCTGGCTTTCCCATGGACTTTGCTTGTCAAAAGGTCGCAAAAGGGGATCACGTGACCCAGGACATTGTGACCGTTATAAATATGAGTCAGCACCCCAATTTTGATCACGTGACCACAGGGATGTTGCAACAGTCATAAGTGTGAAAAACAGTTATATGTTACTTTTTTCAGTCTGTTTTAACTCTGAACGGTCACTAAACGAATGGTTTTAAGTCGAGGACTTCTTGTATAAGCTTTGGACAGGAACCCCAAGAGCTGGCATGTTGGATCGGAACACGAGGCCTTTAAACCAGACTTTTCAGCAGCAAATTCTTGGGTTTTTTATGGATTTCTTATGGAATTGATGTATTTTTCTGCATTTTGTGGGAATAATTTTTCCTATTTTGTATGCTGTGTGGAATATAGATAGATGTCAGAGATGATAGATAGAGAGATAATAGAGAGAGAGATGATTGATAGACATGAGAGAAAGAGAGAGATATGGATGATAGATAGATAGATACCAGAGAGAGAGAGAGAGAGAGATGATAGATAGATAGATAGATAGATAGATAGATAGATAGATAGATAGATAGATAGTTGATGAGAGAGAGAGAGAGATCATAGAGAGAGATGAATGATAGATGATGGATGATAGATAGATAGATAGATAGATAGATAGATAGATAGATAGATAGATAGATAGATAGACAGATAGATAGACAGACAGACAGACAGACAGATAGATGATAGAATTCGAATCTTCTCCTGTGTGACAGTCCATCTCTTCAGGGTCTTCCACCTTTTTCCTCCAATTTTTCTTTTCCTCCTCCCAATGTAGACACATCACGGGATCTGAACCCCTTGGCTGAGGAGGAGGAAGATCCCTCTGGCCGTTCTCCATCGCCTTCCAAGGCATGTCGCAAGGAAGGTAAATTAAAAACAAGTGGGGAGGAGGTGAATGAATTAAAATGGATGAAAAAGTGCCACTGTTCTCAGCCTATGCCACTTCTGACCTTTGCCCCTTCTCGCAGCCATGGCCGCGGTCCTGGAGCCAGCCCTGGAGAGCCACGGAAACGTCTCCAGAGGTTCCCCGCATCCCGAGCCGAAAGCTGCTTCTGTTGCTCCTGACACGCTTGTGTTTGACGTAAGTGGTGAGGAGTGTAAAACCGGGAATGTGAGGCTCAGCGGGGCGAACGGTTCCCGTACGGCACCAAATGGCAACCCAGGAGGGACGGGGACCAGGAACGGCATGCCGGGCACTTCATCATCGGTGCAGGCGGGGGCTGAAGAGGAGCACGGAAGCACGGGGCCAGCGTCACTTAGTGCAATCGACACAAGGTGAGGACCCCTTCTTTCGAGAGTGGGTTTTGCGATGCCGAAGCAGGAATCTCATCGCAGGGATGAGAGGCAGAGGGGTGCGGCAGGCTCAATGGCACGCCAGGGGTTATCCAGTGGGTCTCGTTGGGGGAGGCCAGCCCACACCTTGGACCTCCTGCTTCTGTTTATCCCACAGATGGTGGCAGGACTTGGAAGGTCATTGGTCAAGGACGGTCTTTTTAATTTTGGCTGTTTTACAAGCACAAAGCAGGGCAGCAGCTGCCCACTTTGGCTTCTGCTTTCTTTAGCTGGGGGGGGGGGGGGAACGGGGGGGGGGGGGGAGGGGGGGGGGGGGGGGGGGGGGGAAGGAAGGGGAGGGGGGGTGTTTTGCAGTTCGGAAGGACAGGGGAGGTGGAGCAAGGATGGCGTCTCGGAGTCACTGCCTTGGCTTGCCTGCCCTTGAGCTACGTTCAACCTTAAAAAGAACATCAAGCGAGGGCAATAAATTTTCCTTTTGATATTTTCCTGGTTTAGGATCTTGAACTGGAGACTCCCTCCCTGCCTCATCCTTTTTTTCCATCTTTCTTCCTTCCTTCCTTCCTTCCTTCCTTCCTTCCTTCCTTCCTTCCTTCCTTCCTTTCTTTCTTTCTTTTCTTTCTTTTTTCTTTCTTTCCTTCCTTCCTTCCTTCCTTCCTTCCTTCCTTCCTTCCTTCCTTCCTTCTTTACTATCTATCATCATTATCTAACCATCTATCTATCTATCTATCATCATCATTAGCCATCCATCCATCTCTATCTATCTATCTCTCTATCTCTTTCTCTCTCTCTATCATTATCCATCCCTATCTCTCTCTCTCTCTCTCTCTCTCTTTCTTTCTTTCTTTCTTTCTTTCTTTCTTTCTTTCTTTCTTTCTTTCATCTGTCATTCTTTCCTTGTTATGTCTAGTCTAATGAAAAGAAGGACTAGGGGGTGACCTGATTGCAGTCTTCCAATATTTGAGGGGCTGCCCCAAAGAAGAAGAGGGGGTCAACCTCTTCTCCAAAGCCCCTGAAGGCAAGACAAGAAACAACGGATGGAAGCTAACCAAGGAGAGAAACAACCTTAGAACTAAGGAGAAATGTTTTGACAGTGAGAACAATTAGCCAGTGGGACAACTTGCCTCCAGAAGTTGTGGGGGCTCCAACACTGGAGACTTTTAAGAAGAGGCTGGACAGCCGTTTGTCTGGAATGGTGTAGGGTTGAGCAGGGGGTTGGGCTAGAAGGCCTCGTGAGGTCCCTTCCTACTCTGTTATTCTGTTATCACCAATTCTCCCTTCTCATCCCTCTTCTCCCCTTCCCTTCCTTCTCACTCTTCTACTTTTCTGTTTTTCCTTCCTTCCCAGTAATATAATTTTTAGGAAGGTTTCTTTGTTGAGCAGAGCACCCTGTCCCAGATGTTTTAAGCACCCCGAGGCTTCACGTTTTGCCTAATTTCATCCAAAAACCTAGCCCGGAATTTATCCACGAGCATAGGACAAATGAACTGACTCCCTTTTGCTTATATTTGCCTCTGAGTGTTGAAGAATTGCATATAGCTGTCATTACTAATAACCATTAGAATCATAGAATCCAAGCGCTGGAAGGGATCTCGGAGGTCGTCTAGTCCAACCCCCTGCTCAAGGCAGCCATCTTATGCCATCCATTTTGCTCCCATTCAGTCAGGCCCAATTCTCGGAGACGGTCTGAACAAATCCCCACAATTTTGGGGGGCAAGGATTTTTGGAAGTGGTTTGCCATTGCCTCTTTTTTAGGGCTGAAAGAGAGTGGCTGGCCCAAGGCCATCCTGCTGGGATTGTGCCCAAGGTGGGATTAGAACTCAGGATCTCCTGCTTTCTACCCTGATGTCTTCCTCACTAGTTATCATATCATCCATCCATCCATTAACTGGATTTTTAAAACTGGCCCAATTCAAACTATGTGACTCTAGATGACGTACAGCAACAAAAGAAACAATAACATAAAAAGGGGCATATATTTTATGCAATATATAAATGTAACAGATATTGTTGTATGATTGGGGCAATCAAACCCCCCTGGTAAAAAAAACAACCTAGTTATTTTCCCCTTTTTAATGAAGAAACAGAAAAGAAAAAAACATCACAGAATCTGAAACAAAATAAACCAGGGGTAAAATGAAAAGGAGGGGGAAAAGAGAAAAAGTTCAGGTTTCCTATAGCACAGGTAGTCCTCGACTTGCAACGATTCGTTTAATGACCGTTCAAAGTTACAACGGCACTGGAAAAGGGGACTTATGACCGTTTTTCACACTTATGACCGTTGCAGCATCCCCGTGGACACGTGATCAAAATTCAAACATTTGGCAATTGATTCATATTTATGACGGTTGCAGAGTCCCGGGGAGAGTGTCACGTGATCCGCTTTTGCGACATTCTGAGAAGCCAAGTCAATGGGGGAGCCAGATTCACTTAATGCCCGTGTTATTAATTTAACACCTGCAGTGACTCACTTAACAATCACGGCAAGAAAAAATCATAAAATGGAGCAAAACTCCTTTAACCAAATGTTTCACTTAACAACAGAGATTTTGGCCTCAATTTTGGTCGTAAATTGAGGACTACCTATAGTCCTTGAGATTGGGACTGTAATGGAACCTCCCCATCGTGGTCGTAAAGCAAGTCACCCAATTTTAGGGCCTTTTTTGCATCAGTCGTAAAAGTAACGCCATGGTCATTAAGCAAATTCATTGCCCGTTTTGCCAAAAAATCAAAAGTAACTACCAGTTTTGGAGTCAAAACGTAATAAAACACAAGTTGTGTGACCCACGGTCATAAGTCATTGCAAACGGTCGTAAGTCCAGTCCGATGGCCATAGGGTCACGTGAATGTGGGGTGTCACCATCAGAACTTCAGAAAAAAAGTTGTGAGTGCCACTAGAGAGATCAGTTGTAACTTCAAAAAGTCACTAAGTGACCTGTCGTAAATCGAGGACTACCTGGCCTTGGTCAGGTGGAAGAATTTCTCTTTGGACTGCCTCTAGGAAAAGCAGAATTTGGGAATAAAAGCCCCCGTTTTAATTAAACACCATTCTGGGGACTGAGACTCTCTCTCCTGTCCTTCCAATCCCGTGAAAATTAAGTTCTTTAATGTTTTGTCCGCTACAGGAGCCAGCCTGCCGTTGGGGGACCCCAAATTCAGAATCTCTCTCTTTTTTTCCCCCCCCATCCTCCAGGCCAACTGATATCTGGAAACCCAGGGAGGACCGCTCTGTTTCTCCGCCCCCCAGGAGAAAAAGCACGCCAAAGGAATCTGTTAAAAGACTCCTTTCACCGCCATTTACATCCAAGGATGTACCTGTGCGGAAACGCAAACTGGGGAAGGCGACGGGGTCCTCGGATCCCCCAACGCCTGCTGTGGAGACCCTCGCAACTTTGGAAGATAACCTCGTTCCTCTTCCCACGCCCGTTATCCTGGATAAACCATCCCTGGAAAAACCCGGATACGAGAGTCTCAACGAAGCGGCTCCTTTGCCGTCCCCATCCGGAAACCCCATGGTGATGTATTTTATGGAGGACGCAGCCCTCGCCCAACACGATCCTGTTGTTCTCAACCGCGGGCCGGATTCCCGAGGATTGTCTTCGGATGCCGCGTACCTGGCACTGTCTCCTTCTCTTGGGGGTCCCTCGCTGGCGCCATGGGATTTTCGGCCAGAGACGGCTGGCGAAGTGCAGGATGGCGCGGAAGAAGGAACAGCGTTGACTGCCGTTCTGGAAACCTCAAGCGACAGCGTTCCCTCGGAACTGGTGGAAGACACGGAGACAATCATGGAGAAAGACGAGCTGGCCCAAGACAGGTTGGGGGGTTGTGAGGCGGGGGCTTCGGAGTTACCAGCTGAGAAGGAAGAGGAGGAGGAGGAGGAGGAGGAGAAGAAGAAGGGTGAGGCTGAAAGGCAGGAGAATCGGAGAGGAGACGAACACTTCGCGCCTGCCGTAGAAACCATTCCTGGAGAAGAGGCGCACCGGATCCTGGATGAGGCAGACCGGAGCTCCCCGAGAGTTGACGTCCTTCAGGGCAAACTTTCTCCTACGTCTTCGTCTTCCCAGGACGGACAACTGGTGATGGAGGACGAGGAAAGCAGGCCCGGATCAGAGGTTCTCTCTTCGCCGTTGATGATGGGTAGGGAAGACATGGCCGGGGAATCCCTGTGGGACATACCCCGTTGCCCTTCTTCTGCTATGCCCAACCTGGAGGAAGGTAAGAGGAAGGACCTGGGAGTTGTAGAGGGGGCACCCCAAAGCCCTCTAGAAGAGCCAAAGCGCCCGAGGTTGGAAAGTGAGGACGAGGGAACCGAGGAGAAGAGGGACGTAGAAGGAAGCGAAGTCTCCAGACAGGCCGCGGACCAGACGGCTGAAACGGAGTGTACCATGAACGAGGAAGGAAAGGATGGAGGCCAAGATGATGGCTGGAAGAAACTTTCAGAAGAAACCCTGGAAGATGCTATGCTGGAGGAACCCAACACCCATCTGAATGGGAGCCCGGAGACTTTGGGCCAAACACAGCCGGACAGTCCAGAGGCTTGTGGCTTAGGGTCATCTTGGAGTGGCGATCCCGCACAGTCTTCCCAGAATGTCCCCCCCAGCCAAAGTCTGCCAGACCACAAAGAAGAAAGCCTAGAGAGTCCTTTAGAAGGTTTGACCCAGAGACCCACGGAGACAGAAGTGTTTGCGCCCCGCGCCGCCAGCCCGCCTGTATCTCAGGATTCTGCCCTGCCTGCCCCAGGTCCCTGTAGGAGTGCTGGGCCCTGCCAGGAAGCCCCGGTGCTGAGCCCCGTGTCCTGTGGCACAGCCCCCCATGTGGGACCCGAAGGGAAAGATCAGGTATAGCCGGCCGTGGTCTGTCCCCTTCTTTTCCTTGCTGGCTGCTTCTCTTGAGCCCGCTCAACCTTGGTTGGGTGGATGGTGGCTTCTGCCTGGCACAGCGGCGATGCTGGGGGTGCCTCCGGTGGCACAAGGAGGGGAGGGAGGGCAGCGGGTGGGTGGTGCGAGAAAGGGCAGAGACCCCAAAATGTCTTTCTTTGATGTAGGGTTGGGCTTCAAAAAATTTTAGCAAGGGGTTCTCTGCCCGGTTGCTGGGTGGGCGTGGCCTGGTTGGCCTCCTGCACCACAGTGAGGGGGGAGGCATTTTTTGCCCTCCCCAGGCTCCAGAGGCTTTCCTCGAGCCTCTGAGAGGGCGAAAATGGCCTCCCCAGGCTCCGGAGGCTTTCCTCGGCCTCTGAGAGGGTGAAAATGGCCTCCCCAGGCTCCAGAGGCTTTCCTCGAGCCTCTGAGAGGGCGAAAATGGCCTCCCCAGGCTCCGGAGGCTTTCCTCGAGCCTCTGAGAGGGTGAAAATGGCCTCCCCAGGCTCTGGAGGTGGGAAACAGGCCCGTTTCCAGCCTTCCCGAACTTCCGGTAGGCCTTCCCGAACTTCCGGTAGGGGCTGAGTGGGGTGGGATGGGTGGGGCCAGCCAGGAGTGGTGTTTGGGGGTTCTCTGAACTTCATAGAATCTTAGCTAGAGGTTCTCCCGAACCCCTGCGAACCCCCATCAGCCCATCCCTGCTTTGATGGCTTCCTATCAGTAGGACGCCGAGTGGCGTCCAGCTACTTCAAGCATGGAAATTTTGGGTCTGGCATTATTTTTATAGGCAGCATTGCGAGTAGTCCTTGATTCATGACCGTTTGTTGAACAAAGGTTTGAAGCTGCAAAAAAGTGATTTATGACCTGTCCTCGATGTTACGACCATAGTATTTTGCCCGTGGTCACAATTTAGGACCTAGGCAGCTGCCCTGCATATTTTAAGATAGTGGCAGCGTTTTCTGCGGTTATAACGCGATCGCCTCTGCTGGTTTCTGACAAAGTTGGATTCGCTTAGTGACCCCCCATGATTCACTCATGCCTTTCACGGAACGACTGCCGTCAAAGCGGTTGGAAAATTGGATAATGACTCACTTAACGACCGCATTTATTTTAGTTTAAATTCTGTTCTTGATTGTGGTTATAAGTTGAGGGCTACATATTTGGGTGTTTTATAAGTTACAGCTGGGTAGGGCGAAATACATCTAGTCCTCGCCTTACGACCACAGTTGAGCCCAAAAAAATTACGTTGCTAAGTGAAGATGTTTGTTAAGTGAATTTTGGCCCGTTTTATGACCTTTCTTGCCTCGGTTGTTAAGTGAATCCTGGCAGTTGTTAAGTGAGTCACATGGTTGCGAAGTGAATTGGGCTTCCCCCGGTGACTTGGCTTGTCAGAAGGTCGCAAAAGGAGATCCTGTGTCTGCGATCGTCATAAATACGAGTCAGTGGCCAAGCGTCTGAATTTTGATCCCGTGACCGGGGTGGGGACACACACACACACACACACCACAATGGTCGTAAATGAGAAGAACATTCATAAGTCGCTATTTTCAGTCCCCCGTTGTAACTTCGGTCACTAAACATACGGTCGTAAGTCGAGGACTACCTGTACTTCATTTTTTTTAAAAAAATGCCATCCCTCGGCAGCGTTGGGAATTTTGCTCCCTGAGCTCACAAATCCTCTTTTAATTTTGGCTTTTCTTCCTCTCAGGCCGAGTCGCTCAGCAGCCCCACCCTGGTGAACTCCAGCCATTGCCTGCTACAATGGTGCCAGGAAGTGACGGCCGGCCATCGGGGGGTCCGTGTGACCAATTTCACCACGTCCTGGCGCAACGGTCTGGCTTTCTGTGCCATTCTGCACCACTTCCATCCGGAACAGATGTGAGTTGTGGCGAGAAAACCAACTTTTTATCAAACCGAGATGCTGATCTGCAATCACTATTAGATTTCAGGTAGTCCTTGGCGTATGGCTACAATTAAGCCCCAGATTTCTGTGGCTAAGCGAGGCATTCGTTCAGTGAGTTTTGCCCTGTTTTACAACCTTTCTTGCCTTGGTTGTTAAGTGAATCACTGCTGTTGATAAATTAGAAACCCGGTTGTTAAGTGAATCATTTCAGTTGATAAGTTAGAAACCTGGTTGTTAAGTGAATCACTTCAGCTGATAAGGTAGAAACCTGGCTGTTAAGTGAATTATTTCAGTTGATAAGTTAGAAACTTGGCTGTTAAGTGAATCACTTCAGCTGATAACTTAGAAACCTGGCTGTTAAGTGAATCACTTCAGCTGATAGTTAGAAACCTGATTGTTAAGTGAATCACTTCCGTTGATAAGTTAAAAACCCAATTGTTAAGTGAATCACTTAGCTGATAAGTTAAAAACCCAATTGTTAAGTGAATCACTTAAGCTGATAAGTTAGAAACCTGATTGTTAAGTGAATCACTTCCGTTGATAAGTTAAAAACCCAATTGTTAAGTGAATCACTTAAGCTGATAAGTTAAAAACCAATTGTTAAGTGAATCACTTAAGCTGATAAATTAGAAACCTGGTTGTTTAGTGAATCACTTTAGTTGGTAAGTTAGAAACCTGGCTGTTAAGTGAATCACTTCAGCTGATAAGTTAGAAACCTGATTGTTAAATGAATCACTTCCGTTGATAAGTTAAAAACCCAATTGTTAAGTGAATCACTTAAGCTGATAAATTAGAAACCCGGTTGTTAAGTGAATCAATTCCATTGATAAGTTAGAAACCAGTTGTTAAGTGAATCACTTCAGTTGGTAAGTTAGAAACCTGGTTGTTAAGTGAATCACTTCCGTGGATAAGTTAGAAACCCGGTTGTTAAGCGAATCACTTCCGTTGATAAGTTAGAAACCCGGTTGTTAAGTGAATCCGGTTCCCCATCATCTTTGCTAGTCAGAAGGTCGCAAAAGGGGATCACGTGACCGTGGGACACTACAGCCGTCATAAATATGAGTCAGAGGCCAAGGGTCTGAATTTTGATCACATGACCGTGGGGGATGCGGCAATGGTCGTAAGTGTGAAAAACTTACGACTTACGAAGTTTACTAAACTTACTAAGTCGCTTTTTTCAGTGCCGTTGTAACTTTGAACGGTCACTAAACAAACTGTTATAAGTCGGGACTGCCTGTATTTTCCTCTTCCAGCCCCCTCTAGCCAATAGAAATGAATTATTTGAGGATATTTACAACAATATTCACATTTTTTTCCCCTCTTTCCTTTTCTCTTCAGCAACTACGAAGCTCTGGATCCCCTTGACATCAAAGAGAACAATAAACTGGTGAGTCGGCTTTCGAACTCGCTACACCACCTTGTCAGGCGGTTGCGAAAGACGCTGGTTCCTCCCTGAGTTTTTCCAGTGGCCAAAAATCACTCCCCTTTCCCAGAATTGTTCTCGGAAAGGGAAAATCTAGATGAGAAACGAAGAAGTGAGCAATCCAGATTTTGGGGGAAAATGGGCAGTTTCTCCCTCTTTGTCAGCCTCAGTCCTTCCACCTGTAAAATGGGCAAAATTTCAAGATGACCTCGCAGACAGAAGAATCTTAGCAGTTGCTAAGGAAGAGCAGATAACATCAAATAACATTGACATGAATAGGAATAGGAATAGGAATAGGAATAAGATTAGGAATAGGAGTAGAATAGAATAGAATAGAATAGAATAGAATAGAATAGAATAGAATAGAATAAGAATAGAATAGAATAGAATAGAATAGAATAGAATAGAATAGAATAGAATAATGGAATGGAATGGAATGGAATGGAATGGAATGGAATGGAATGGAATGGAATTAGACTAGACTAGAACAGAACAGAACAGGAATAGAACAGAACAGGACAGCACAGGACAGGACAGGACAGGACTAGAATAGGAATAGGAATAGGAATAGGAATAACCATTCACCACTTCAGACAACTGGTTATCTCATTCATTAAGAGTCTCTTGGCAGTGAGAGGGGTGCCATATTAATTTAATAAAAAATAAATAAAATGAAATAATATATAATACAGGTAATCCTCATCTTGCAGCAGTTCATTTAGTGACAGTTCAAAGTTACAACCAGTAGCGACCATTTTTCACACTTAAAAACCCCCTGGTCACGTCATCAAAATTCAGAGGCTTGGCAGCTGACTCATATTTATGACGGTGGCAGTGACCCGGGGTCACATGATGATTCACCTTTTTGCAACCCTCTGACTGGCAAAGTCAACGGGGGAAGCCAGATTCACTTAACAACGGTCGCTAAGTAACTTAACGACGGCAGCGATTCGCTGAACAACCAAGTGGCAAGAAAGGTCTTAAAATGGGGCAGGATTCACAAATGTCTCACTTAGCGATGGAAATTTTGGGCTCAATTGCGGTCGTAAGTCGAGGACTAGCTGTATTTTCCTGCTTGGAAAGAGGCCATCGGTTCTGAACGTCTTTTTTTTTTTTCTCCTTCTCTTTTCAGGCCTTTGACGGCTTTGCCACGCTGGGCATCTCCCGGCTAATGGACCCGGCAGATATGGTCTTTTTGACGGTGCCCGATCGGTTGATCGTGATGACGTACCTTTGCCAGATCCGGGCATTTTTTACTGGACAGGAACTCAACGTGGTACAGTTTGCCAGCCACAATAGCGAGACTACTTACAAAGTGGGCAAATTCGACACAGATTCCTCGGGCTCGGTTGATCCGGCTGTGTTTTACTCCCAACATCTGCAAAGTAACGCGGAGAAGCCAGGGAAGATTCTAGAAGCCAAGGGGGATTCTGGGAAAGCAGCAAAATTGGAGGAGAAGCAGAGAGGAGAAGCGGACTCTGCTGTCCCGGAGGATTCTGGGCGGCCTGAAGGGGCAAACGAGGCAAAGGATTCTGGGAATGAAGCCGTCGCGGAGACCGTCCCCCGCAAGGAGACCGAGGGGCAGCCGGGCGCGAAGCCAAATGGCTCAGGAGCGATCGGCAGCGTCACCTCCGTAGGGCCAGAAGTCAAAAATGGGGTGGCCCCTGAAGAAAATAAAACAATATTTCTTGGTCCTGTGGATTATAAACCCCACGAGAACGTGGCAGACGAGATCACCCCAAATTCACAGCGTCTTCTCGCGGAAATCTCCAAACCCGACAGATTGATCAACGGTGCCCCTTCACCTTTCGAACGGGAGGATTCTGGGGGCGAAACCCCAAGGCATGATGGGAAAGGACTGGCCAACGGCTCCTCGGGTGTCTCCAACCAGGACCCGGGGGAATCTGGGAAATGCGAGGCGGACATGGAGAAGATCGGTAAGGACGAGAAGATGGTTGCACCTCCCCGGCTCAAACGGCTCACCTCCCGGGGCAGCGTGGAGCGTCCCGTCCAGCACGCCCCCTCGGCGGGCACCGCAGGCCCCATAGCGCCACCCCGGTCCCACTCCATCAAATCCGCCTTTGCTCACATGCGCGACGCAGACCTGGTGAAGAAGCGACGGTCACGGTTGAAGAGTGAGTCCCTCTCGGTGGATGAGACGGAAGGGGGTGGACAGGTGGAGGAATCCAACCCGCGACGGACGGCGGTGAGTGATGCCCGGAGGGCGGTTTGGGAGAAAAGTTGAGTTGAGCTCACTGAGTTAATGCATTGTTGATTTTTTTGTTTGTTCAAGTACTCCTCGACTTACGACCACAATCGCGCCCAAACTTTTCATTGCTAAGCAAGACAGTAGTTAAATGAGTATTGCCCCGTTTTATGACCTTCCTCGCCAGAGTTGTTAAGTGAGTCACTGCCGTTGTGAGGTTAGTAGAGGCAGTCCTTGACGTACAGCCACACAATTGAGCCCAAAATTTACATCGCTAAGTGAGAAATTTGTCCATTTACCCCACGAAATGACTCTTTCTTGCCACAGTTGTTAAGTGAATCACTGCAGCTCTTAAATTAGTAACCCAGTTGCTAAGTGAATCTGGTTTGCCTCTTGGCTTTGCTTATCAGAAGGTCACAAAAGGGGATCCGGTGACTGTCATAAATATGAGTCAGTCGCCAAGCACGTGAATGTGGCAATGCTGCAACGGTCGTAAGTGTGAATAACGGTCCAAAAGTCCCTTTTTTTCCCAGTGCCATTGCAACTTTGAACGGTCACTAAACGAATGGTTATAAGTGGAGGACTACCTCTGTGGTTTGCTGGGATCGGTCGTAAGTGTGAATAAAGGTCCAAAAGTCCCTTTTTTCCCCAGTGCCGTTGTAACTTTGAACGGTCACTAAACGAAGGGTTGTAAGTGGAGGACTACCTCTGTGGTTTGCTGGGATCGAATGCTCTCTGGGTTGAGAATCAATGCCTTCTAATTCTTCTTTATCCAGGACGATGTTTGCAACGAGGGGACGAAGGTCCGACAAACAAAACAACCCGGTGAGTTGGGGAGCTGGGTGTCTACAAGGGGTTGGAAATAAATATTGCTATGGGCAAATAGCCTCAGGAAAAGGGGTTTGTGTTGTGAGATTCACAAGGGACACACCAGTAGCAGGATATGCTATTAAAAAAATGCCAAGTCTTAATTTTGGTTTCCTCCTTTTGTAGCTTCTCCCGTCGTTCCTTCCCCGGAGCAACCTCTGGACTCCGAATTGAAAAACAGCAACCACGAAGAGGAAATTCCAGTAAGTAGCTTAGGATAGAGGTCAGCAACCTGCGGCTCTGGAGCCGCATGTGGCTCTTTCACCCCTCTGCTGCGGCTCCCTATCGCTCAAAATATGTGTCACAACCGCCAATGTGCGACACATGCCGGCACAGGATTTATTGATCTTTTCAACCCCCGGTAGGCCAACCATAGATAAATCCAAGAAAAGAAAAGTTTCGGAAGAAAACAGAACATTTAATTCAACTACATATGCTAGTTTTGTAGTCAGGCACAGGAAGGGTTTTGTGGCTCCCGGTGTTTTCTTTTCTGTGGGAAACAGATCCAAATAGCTCTTTGAGTGTTTAAGATTGCAGACCCCTGGTTTAGGATGAGGGGAGAGTAGATGATTTCTTTTGGAGAGAGTAAGCCTTTGGCCTAGGGGTGAAAGTACGATGCTAGAAAATGAGGGATGTGAGTTCTAGTGCCGCCTTAGGCAGGGTAGACGGCTGGGCGACTTTGGGCCAATCACCAGGAGACAATGAGTTCTTGTCCCGTCTTAGGCATGAAAACTGGCTGGATGACTTTAGGTCAATCACCAGGAGACAGTGAGTTCAAGTTCCCCTTTAGGCATGAAAGCCAACTGAGTGACTTTGGGCCAATCACCAGGAGACAGTGAGTTCTAGTTCCGCTTTAGGCATGAAAGCTGGCTGGGTGGCTTTGGGCCAATCACCAGGAGAGGGTGAGTTCTAGTTTTGCTTTAGACATCAAAGCCAGCTGGGTGACTTTGGGATACCCACCAGGAGACTGGGAGTTCTAGTTCCGCTTTAGGCATGAAAGACGGCTGGGTGCCTTTGGGCCAATCAGCAAATGATGGTGAGTTCAAGTCCTGCCTCAGACCATAAAAGCCAGTGAGGTAACTCTAGACCAATCACCAGGAGGCTGTGAGTTCTAGTCCCATGAAAACCAGCTGGGTGACCAGGAGACAGTGAGTTCTAGTTCCGCTTTAGGCATGAAAGACGGCTGGGTGATTTTGGGCCAATCAGCAAATGACGGTGAGTTCAAGTCCTGCCTCAGACCATAAAAACCAGTGGGGTAACTAATCTTGGCCAATCACCAGGAAGCTGTGAGTTCTAGTTCTGCCTTAGCCATGAAAACCAGCTGGGTCCAGACTTTGCGTCAGTCCCTCTCTCTGACTCAGCCCAGCCTACCTCATAGGGCTGTTGTTGTTGTTACGGGGAAAACAAGAGGAATAAAATACGTTGGGTACATTCTCCATCTTGGGTTGTTCGTAAAAAATTATAAAGGCAACATATAAATAAACATTTAAAAAAAAAAAAACACTTCTGCAAGATCTAAACATGGAGCCATAAGGTTGAGCTGCAAAAAAAAATAAAAATAAAAATCCAGCTGTAAAATTAACTCCAGGAAGTTTGGTCAGGAAGGAAGTTGGCAGGCCAGCCCTTTTGTAAAACAGGAATTGTAAAACAAAGTGAATACAAACCTAACATCTGAGCTGCTTTGTTTTTGCTTTCTCATATCCAAAGTTCCTTTTTTTTTTTGCTATTAATTTGCAAGGCACCATATCTGATCACGTTCGATTAAAATTTAAAGATTTAAGATGTAGATGAATTTAATTTAAACTTTAAAAATGTAGCATTGCACTGAATTTACTTTCCGTTTAAAAAAAAATTAAATTAAAATGAAACTGAACTGAAGTTTAAAAATCTAGCATTAAAACGAATTTAATTTCAAATGTAACATTGAAATGATTTTCGTGAATGACCTCAGTGATTTGCTTAAGTATCTTGGCCAGGGGTGAAATCCAGCAGGTTCTGACAGGTTCTGGAGAACTGGTAGCGGAAATTTTTAGCAGTTTGGAGAACCGGCAAATACCACCTCTGGCTGGCCCCAGAGTGGGGAGGGAATGGGGATTTTGCAGTATCCTTCCCCTGGAGTGGGGTGGGAATAGGGATTTTGCAGTATCCTTTTCCCAGGAGTGGGAGGGAATGGGGATTTTGCAGTATCCTTCCCCAGGAGTGGGGAGGGAATGGGGATTTTGCAGTATCCTTCCCCTGCCATGCCCACCAAGCCACACCACACCCACCAAGCCACGTCCACAGAACCCATAGTAAAAAAATTTGGATTTCACCACTGATCTTGGCCAAAAAAGTTGAGCGTGCGTTGACTACCTCACTTATAGTAAAACAACCTCGCTTTAGCAACTGAAATTCTGGTCCCAAATGCCATCGTAAGACTTCCCGTGTACTTAGAGATCATTTAGTCCAACCCTCTGTGGTGCCCAGGCTGCAGTCACACAAATTCAAAATCTCAAAATTTCTTTTCTGGCTTTTACATAACATGTTCAAACACCAAATGAGAAATCTCCTTCCAGGCCAGGTCTTTCTGTAAAAGGTATTTGCAGAAATGGAAGCTTGGAAGCTCAAAATCCCTTCAGGTTCTTGAGAAATTCAGTTTTTTTCAAACCCGGAAAGTTTCTAGCCCTCGTGAGGTCTTGAGAACATGAGCTCCTGGCGAAGGGCATCTCATGATGCCCTCTCAAATCATGTGGGAATTGAGCAATTGTTGTTGACTTTCCTTCCTCTCTTTGTAGTCTCTGGGCTGAAGTGGAAAGAAGAACAAGGTTCTGTTTGTTGTGATCACGGGTTCAAATTTGGAGAGAATGAGCTTTTTTCCCCCTTCTGGGCAGAAGCTGAGATGCCCAGGAAGACTGTCTGTTTTAACAGGACAGGAAACAATTTCATTTCACAACTGAATTGCAAGAACTCTGCGTGACCCCAGCCCATGAAAAGTCATTCCCAATTCCCATGGATAATTTCTCCAGATTAGATATATATATATACAGTATATATATATAGTATATATATATATAGTATATATATATAAAGTGTTGGTTAGGATTTTAGCCAGAGTTTCAAAAAACCTTACAAAGTGTTTTGTTGGGATTTTGGAGGATTTTAAGCTGGGATTTTAGCCAGGATTTTAAGTATTTCAACTAACAGACTTTTAATGACGCGGGAAAACACCCGAGATTTTAACGTTTTACACATATATGTGTGTGTGTGTGTGTGTGTGTATGGAAAAAAAGAAAGAATCTGCTTGTCACATTGGCAAAATGAGGCAAATGACAGATGTTTTTCTTTCTTTTTTTTTAACAAAAAAATCATTACCCTGAGGACTAGAATCTTCATTTTAAATAACATATTTAAAATATAAGCAAAAAAAAAGAAAGAATTCTGCTTGTCACATCGGCAAAACGAGGCAATGCAAATAACAGATGTTTTTCTTTCTTTTTTTTTACAAAAAAGTTTTTTAGTCATTACCCTGAGGACTAGAATCTTTATTTTTAAAATAAGGAGCCACATGTGAAGTTAGCCTTTCTTCTGCCCCATATTTAAAAGGAAGCTTTTTATTCCCAGAATGAAAGGGGGGTTTTTTTTGTGTGTGAAAAAAAGTTGGCCCAATACAGTTTCCCAAGGACCTCAAACTTCAGATGCTTTAGTGAACCTGGGTACTGAACTAAACCGGTTTTCTGGATTCGCACAACATTTTCTATGGGCATCTTTGAAACAGCCTGTGTGTGAGGCTGCTTTGAAGCAGGGGTGAAATGCTACCGGTTTGCACCAGTTTGGGCAAACCGGTAGCAGTAGCGGCGCAAAGCTCCATCCGCCCACCTACCTGGACATCATTACTTCCTGGTTTTAATCAGGAAGTAACCTGTTTTTGACCCTCTGCATATGCGCAGAAGGCTTTGTGCATGCCCAGAAGGTCCGAAATCGCATCTGACACGCTCGAGCGCGCTTCTGAACCGGTAGGGAAGGTAAGTAGATTTCACCCCTGCTTTGAAGTGTTTTTGTAGAAAAGAAATCACTTGGGAATTGGATGGACCTAAACGGCCTTCCACTTAGCCCATCCAGTGGTTGTAAGTCGAGGACTACCTTCTGTGCCTTCCGTTGTTTGATTGTAGAAATTTCAAGACACCAGCCAGTACGTGGTCGCCGAACTGCGGGCGCTGGAGAACGAACAGAAGCAGATTGACGGACGGGCAGCGGTGGTGGAGAAGGAACTGCGGGCTCTGATGCAAACAGGTAGGGCAAAAGAAGCAGCAGCAGCAGCAGCTGGCAAATTTTGCCAGGTGTGCCACTGGCTGTTGTGGCCTGTCGGCTACTGGCCCCTCCAGCAGCCGAATCGGAGGAGGAGGCGTGGGAGTTGGGATCAACATCAAGCAGTGGTGAAATCTGAATAGGTTTGCTATCAATTCTCTGCCTGCACATGCGCAGTGCCCACCATGCACCAAATCTTCAGATTTATTTTTTTTATTTTATTTTTAAAGCATTTTTAACTAAAAAATGCTAAAAAGGTTTTTTAAAAAGTGCTGACGATCGCGGGTCGCTCAGTTGATCGTTGGCACTTTTTACAATTTTTTTACTAGTGGTTTGGCAAACCAGTATCCTTTTTTACTACCGGGGAACCGGACCGAACCGGGAGCATTTCACCCCTGACATCAAGGCAACCTGGGAGCTCTGAGGGGGAAGAGGAAATGGAGCTGGCAGAGAGAGAGAGAGACAGAGAGAGAGAGAGAGAGAGAGAAACAGAGGTGGTCTGGGCCATCCGTCAGCCCTCAGATGGAGAGTCAACAGCCCCCAGGTCTGGAGGTGGCTGATGAGGAAGAGGAGGAGCAGCTGGGTCCAGTGCCTGATGCGCAGAAGGCAGAGGAGAGGAGAGCAGTGGAAATCTATGGGCCGGTCCTTGGGACGGAAGAGCCACCGCTGCTAGCGAAGCCCCACCCTAACTCTGGGGATAAAAGGCAGGGGGCGGTGAAAGAGAAACTTTTTGCCAGGGCTGCCGGCACTCCTAATAAAGGAATCATTGCTTCAACTACAGAGGGTTTCTCGTTTTTGGGGAGCTGTGTCAGAACACTGGCTGATCATTGGGTGCCATCCCAAAACATTAGGAGCATCAACTTGGACACCACCATCGGCATTGACAAATTCACTGTCAGTCAATTGCCAAAGGCCGCTTGACTCAGAACAGCTTACACCAGGGATCTCCCCCTGAAAAAAAGTGGGGAGCAGAGAAAACTATCGAGGTAGTCCTCAGTTTACAACCACAATTGAGCCCCGAATTTATGTTGCTAAGGGAGACATTTGTCAAGGGAGTTTTTGCCCCGTTTTACGACTTCTCTCACCACGTTCATTGAGCGAATCCCTGCCGTTCTTAAATGCGTAACATAGTTGTTAAGTGAATCTGGCTTCTTCATGGACGTTGCTGATGAGAAAGGGGAACGTGTGACTCTGGGACGCCGCAACCGTCCTAAATGTGAGGCAGTTGTCAAGTATCCAAATGTAAATCACCTGACTCGTGGGGGCTGCAACGGTCGTAAGTGTGAAAAATGGTCGTAAGTCGCTTTTTTCAGGGCCGTTGCAACTTTGAACGGTCATTGAACGAACTGTTGTAAGTCGAGGACTACCTATAATTTGTGGGAGTGAAACTCTGGGAGCTAGTCCGCTTTATAATGTCAGAAAATGAGAATACAAATCTATTTCTGGGGTCATTTTGGGATTCTTCTGCCATCTACTGTCTGATTGTGGGACTGCACAAAGATCGACCTTTGGGCATCCAATTTTAAAATATTCTCAACTTTGGGGAAAATAATTGGGACATTTTAGCAATCCAGGATGGTCACTTCTTTATAATTCTAAGGAATTATAAAGTATAATCGCAGGGGGATAATTGCAGTATCCCTCAGCAAGCCTTAGCTGATTTTAAAAAGTTAAGCAGGAATTTTATATGTTCCTGTTGGTTTGGCCGTCCAGAACAATTCCAGTTTCTCTTCTCACCCCCCCCCGGGAAAATTAATTGCCCACTCAGGGTCAGAAATCCCCCTCTGCCCACTTCACATATAGAATATCCCTAACTTCCATGCACACATCCACCAACGTGAAAGAAGGCATAAAGTTTTCATCCATGTGAAAAAGGAATACAGATAGTCCTAGACCCGTGATGGCCAACCTATGGCATGCGTGCCACAGGTGGCACGCGGAGCCATATCTGTGGGCACACGCGCGTTGCCCTAGTTCAGCTCCAGCGTGCACGGACGTGCCAGCCAGCTGATTTTCGGCCTTCCAGGCCCACCGGAAGTCAGGAAACGGGCTGTTTCCGGCCTCCAGGGGGATGGGGAAGGCCGTTTTCTCCCACCCCAAGCTCCTAGAAAGCCTCTGGAGCCTGGGGAGGGCGAAAAATGCGCCTTCCAGTCCAACCGGAAGTTGGGAAACGGACCATTTCCGGTCTCCGGAAGGCCTCTGGGGAGGGGGGAAGGCGGTTTTTGCCCCCCCCAGCCCTTAGAAAAACAGGCCTACCGGGCCCACCGGGCCATCGTGTGCCAAAAGCGGGGGAAGCGCAGGGGGTCGCATGCGCATACACGGGGGTTTGGGGCACATTGAATTATGGGTGTGGGCATGCACATGTGACCCCCACCCCGCTCCCCTCGCTTTTGGCACATGACGGCAAAAAGGTTAGCGATCACTGTCCTAGACCATTCGCTTAAGTGATCGTTCAGAGTCACAAAGGCACTGAAAAAAAGTGACTTAGGATAGTTTTTCACACTGTACGACCGATCACAATTTGGATACTTGGCAAGTGGCTCATATCTGGTGGTGATGCTGAGAGGTTCAGGCAGACTGATGGGGTCAGGCAGTAGAAGCCAACGGGCACCCATCAGTCTTTTCTTATTTTCCCTTTTAGGTGCAGATAAATTGAAGGAGGAAGAACTGATCCAGGAATGGTTCACCCTGGTCAATAAGAAGAACGCCCTGATCCGGAGACAGGATCAACTACAGCTGTTGTGAGTAGGAGAAAGAACAAGTACGGTACAATTACACTTACATATAAAGGCAGTCCTTGGGAGTGGTGCAGTGGCCTAGAGGTGGAGCTCTCGTCTCATAATCAGGAGGCTGTGAGTTCAATGCTAGGTAGAGGCAGATCTTTCTCTCTCTCGGCACCATGAGAATATATCTGCCGAACAAAACTCTGCACTGGCGACAGGAAAGGCATCTGGCCAGTAAATGCTCCCAAGGCCCTCATAACTGAAAATAAACTTTGAGCTGTTATTAGTCAAGGAACTAAATCTACTTGCCACTAAGTGTTGTGTCCTAGGCTTCCTTAGAAAGCATAAAGCACAATCTTAGTCCCTGTAAAACCTCTTTTATTTACACGGCTGTGAATTATTGTCATTCCCAGTCCGAAAGGCTTTGCAAACAGTCTTTCAGGGGAATGTATATAAACACCCACCTTATCTCCTTTGGAATGCTGCCAGAGAACTAATTGCCAAACGTAGGGCAAGGCCAAATTTAGCACAGAGTCAAACCGAACTTTTCCAGAGCTTTTACCGACCAGATAAACTAATTGTTTCCTGCAAAAGCTCACATCCCGTTCGCTCCTCTTTTATGTCTTATGGGAGGGGCCAATCATCTCCAAGCCTTACTTCCAAGTCGACCCTGTTTTCTTCATTATTCCTGTCTCCTGGCAGCTCTACGCAGGTGCACACTGGGAACAGGCTCCTGCTGTTCTTCTGCCTTGCTGATGTCAGACTCCAGAGACTCTGGAGGCAGCAAAGAATTACCAGATGGCCTTGGCCCGCTCTCTGCCTCTGATGCAGAGCCCTCGTCTGAGCTTTCCCCAGCCCCCAGGACTGGCCCAAGTTCATCCCTAACCTCCTCACTGTCCGACTCTGTTGCCAGTTCTGCTGGCCGCCGGCGGGCAACAACACTAAGATTAAAATCAAAGACATTGCATTTCTGTTTCCCTCCTGTGGTTTGGGGGTGGATCTTTTTTTTTTTTTTTTTAAATTTGATTTATATGCCGCCCTTCTCCGGAGACTCAGGGCGGCTTACAATGCGTTAAGCAATAGCCTTCATACTTTTGTATATTTATACAAAGTCAGCTTATTGCCCCCACAATCTGGGTCCTCAATTTACCTACCTTAGAAAGGATGGAAGGCTGAGTCAACCTTGAGCCTTGGCGAGATTCGAACCCTGCAGTAATTGCAGGCAGCTGGTCTTAATAACCAGCTTAATAACAGGGTGCCTTAAACCACTGTACTACCAAGGCTCTTTAAATGGGACCCCCCTTTTTTTCCCCAATCCCCGAAGCGTCCCCCACATATATCGCACCCCGATTTCTGTGACCCTCCTGGAATTGGGCCTGAGTGTCACTGCTTGTATTTTTCCAGAATTGAAGAACAAGACTTGGAACGACGGTTTGAACTCCTGAGCCGTGAACTTCGCGCCATGATGGCCATCGAAGGTGAGGGCTGGAATCTCAGCCAGATGGTGACACACACACACACACCCCTCCGAGTGAAAAACGGGCACTTGGGCTGATTGTAGCTACCTGAAACAAAAAGCACAAGGACCTTGGAATTGTGACGTAGGCTTTCTGAGTCATTAAAACACACGAGTAGTCCCAAAAACCTCTTTTATTGCAACAGCTGTGAATTACTTTCATTCACAGCTGAGTCCCAATTAGTTGCAAAAAGTCCTTTGGGAGAAGTCCTTCGGGATAATCACCAACCTTTATCTCCCTTGACACTCTACCAAAGAACTTACTTGGCAAAGCCCCACGGAGTCCAGAATCAAACAGAGATGCCGATTGGGAACAGAATTAACAACGTTGCTTTCCTGCAAAGGGCCCACGTGCCTTTGCTCCTCTTTTAAGCCTTATGGGAGGGGCCAATCATCTCCAGGCCTTACTCCCGAGTCGTCCCTTTTGTTTTAGCTGTTCTTGCCTTCTGGCAGCTCTGCGCATGTGCGGACTAGGAACAGGCTCCTCCTGTTCCTACTGCCTCTCTGATGTCCGACTCTGTAGGCTCCAGAGTCTGCGCATCACTCCCAGATGGCCCTGGCCCCATCTCCGCCTCCGATGCAGAGCCCTCATCTGGGCCTTCCCCAGCCTCCAGGACTGGCCCGTGTTCCTCCCCAGCCTTCTTACTGTCGGACTCCGCTGCCAGCTTCACAGGCTGCTGGCGGACCACAACAGGAATTCGGGTCTCCAGAGGGCCTACCTTATAGGGGTGTTGTAGTAATTCAGATCAAGAAGGTGGAGGGTGGGGATTAAAAACAGAGGTCTCACCTGCCAGCTGCATACCCTATTCTCCTTTTATTTGATTCATGAGGACAGTGATTTATGACTGGGCCTTTTTGATGGTGGCCCTCACATTGCTTAAAATCAGTTTATCCTTGACTTACGGCCACAATTAAGCTCAAAATTTCCATTGCTAAGTGAGACAGTTAAGTGAGTTTTGTCCAGTGGTGAAATCAATGGAATCACTGGAAGCCTTTTCTAAGGTAAGTAGAACAGCGAGGGATGGGGGGAACAACTGTGCTGTGCGATTTAGATTCGCTAGCTTTTTTTTTACTACCTGTTCTGCCCCAGCTCCGGATTCCCAAGTATTGTGACACACACCAACGGTCCTTATCAAAGTTATAACGTACCAAGAATAAACAAAAGTTCGGCAAAGGTTGGCAACCAGCCCAGAAAACATGATACGATAAGACACTCACTCTCCAAAATGCTCTGTAATAATTACACGTTGTTTCCAGCAAGAAATTACTAACTGCGTGCGATTTAAATAGGCTAAGGGAGTGGCCAATTATCCTCAAACCTTACTCTCAAGGAGACCTCCTCCTCCTGAGTAGCCACTCCTGCCTTTTGGCAGCCCTGCGTGCTCGAGCATTGAGGAGAGGCTCCTCCGCTTCCCTCTCTCCACTTGAAGGAGCCTCTGGAGGTTCTGAAGGCCCTGGCTGAGTCTCTGCCTCTGGCACCACATCCTCTCCAGCCTCCTCACTGTCTGACGCGAGCGTCGGCTGCGCAGGCTGCTGGTGCGACCCCACATCAGCCTCCTCGTCATCGGGATCAGCCACGATCCGCGCAGGCTGCTGGCGGGCCACAACACTACCAGTTTGCCTGAACTGGTAGCTTTTATCACTACCGGTTCTACCGGGGTTGGACTAGAAGATCTCCGAGGTCCCTTCCAGCTCTATTCTGAATTTTAAAAAATGGAGTCACTTGGCTGTTTGTTATATTTGCTTTTCTCCCCGACTCAGTGGGGAAAGGCAGCCGGAAAAATCTATTTAATAAACCATTTGATTGAAAGCCTGTTTTTTCTGCTCTGCAGACTTGCTCAAAACAGAAACCCAGCGGCAGCGGGAGCAGCTCCTTCTGGAAGAACTGGTCTCACTGGTGAATCAGCGCGATGAATTAGTCAGAGATCTAGATATCAAAGAGCGTATGTAAGTTGGCGTCTTTCTTTTTTGCTTTTGTCTTTCTTCCTACGCTCTTTCTTTCCTTCTTTCTTTCTCTGTTTCCTTCTTTCTATGCCCTTCCTTCCTTCTTTCTCTCTTGCCTTTCTCTATTCTTCCTTCCTCTCTCCTTTTCTTTTTTTTTCTTTCCTTATCTCTCCTTTCTTTCTCCTTTCTTCCTTTCTTTTTTCTTTCCTTATCTCTTTTCTTTCCTCTTCTTTACTTCTTTCCTCTCCCTCTTCCTTTCTTTCTTTTCCTTTTTTTTCTTTTCCTTCCTCCTTTCTCTTCTTTTTCTTTCTCCTTCCTTTCTCTTTATTTTCTTTTTTCTTCCTTCCTTTTTCTTTTCTTTCTCTTCCCTTTCTTTTTTTTCTTTCTCTTTTTTTTCTTTCTCCTTCCTTCCTTCCTTTCTCTTCCTTTCTTTTCTTTTCTTTCTTTTCTCTTTCCCACAGCCCAATTATTCTAGCCACCAGGATACAACTAATGTGTGTAGGGTATTCCTTTTTAACCCCTCAAAGTTCTGTCATTGGCCTCCCAAAAGTCTTATTCCAATTTTTAATTGCTTTTTTAAAAGGATTTTAAAGGAATTTTGAAGGGCCTGAGGAACTGGCACTGAATCTAATTTTCCTTGAAATTAAAAATAGAATGATATACAAGTTTGGGCCAAGCTCATCCATCTTTGCCAAACGTTTCCCATCCCACAAAAGGTTGTTCCTTCCTATTGCAGGTCCTTAGCTGCAGTATAGTGATGAAGGCATTAATGTACTTAACAGAATAACAGAGGTGTGAGGGACCTATGGCATGCGTGCCAAAAGTGGCATGCTTAGCCATATCGGTGGGGACACGAGCTCAGCTCCGGCGTGCATGTGCGCACCAGCCAGCTGATTTTCGGGCCTTCTAGGCCCACTGGAAGTAGGGAAACAGGCTGTTTCCTGCCTCCAGAGGGCCTCAGAGGGTGGTGGTGAAGGCCGTTGTTGCCCTCCCCAAGCTCCTAGAAAGGCTCTAGAGGCTGGGGAAGAGCAAAAAACAGGCCTACCGGGCCCACCGCGCCATCGTGTACCAGGAGCAGAGGGGGTCGTGCATGCATGCGTGGGAGCGGGGCTCATAGAATTATGGGTGTGGGCACATATGCGCGCGACATACACTCTGCTCCTGGCACACGATGGCAAAAAGGTTAGCCATCACTGCCCTATACCATTCCGGACAAATGGTTATCCAACATCTTCTTAAAAACTTCCAGTGTTGGAGCATTCACAGCTTCTGGTGGCAAATTGTTCCACTGATTAATTGTTCTCACTGTCAGGAAATTTCTCCTTAGTTCTAGGTTGCTTCTCTCCTTGATTAGTTTCCATCCATTGCTTCTTCTCCTGCCTTCAGGTGCTTTGGAGGATAGGTTGACACCCCCACCCCCTCTTCTCTATGGCAGCCCCTCAAATATTGGAAGACTGCTATCACGTCTCCCCTCGTCCTTCTTTTCATTAAACTAGACATATCCAATTCCTGCAACCGTTCTTTGTATGTTTTAGCCTCCAGCCCCCTAATCATCAACCTCATATGCAGAGAGGTTTTCCCCTTCGAATTATAGCTCAGCTTTTCACAATCTGGTCCAGACGGAAAGGAACAAAGTTCAAGATTTTGAATTTCAGGATTGTTCGATCTCAAAAAATAATAATAATAATAATCTGTTTATGCTTTTTGGAGGGGCAGTGGGCTTGGATGAGGGGGGAGTGATGGCTGCGGTGATGAACCTCTCTGGTGAACCGAAGTGATTCTCAACAGTTCAGTCCTTCGGGAGAAGGGCGGTATATAAATTGGAATAAATAAACAAACAAACAAACAAACAGTAAAAGCAGAGCATAGATTGGATTTATTGCTGGCCTATAATCGCAGGCAAAATTTCATATCCAGGTAGTCCTCGATTTACAACAATTCATTTAGTGACCGTTCAAACGTGGTGGTGTGTGGTGGCCTAGAGGTGGAGCTTTCACCTGATAATCTGGGTTGGATCCTAGGTAGAGGCAGATATTTCTCTCTCTGGGCACCATGAGAATATATCTGCAGAACAAAACTCCGCATTGGCAACAGGAAAGGCATCCGGCCATTAAAACACTTTGCTAGCTCCATTCAGTTGCCCAGACTCCACCTCTTAATGGATTATGGGGTTGTTAAATGAAGATGATTTAATGACCGTTCAAAGTTACAACGGCGCTGAACAAAGTGACTTATAACCATTTTTCACACTTAACGACCATTACAGCATCCCTGTGGTCATGTGATCCGGATTCAGATACTTGGCAATTGACTTGCATTAATGACGATCGCAGTGTCGTAAAAGGTCGTAAAATGGGGGAAAGCTCGCTTAAGGAATGTCTCATTTAGCAACCCGAAATTTTGGGCTCAATCGTGATCGTACGTACGTACAATCTGTAGATTATCTCCCAGCTACAGAGATGAAATTAAATGAAAACTGTAGGAATCGTGTTGGCAAGGTGAGATCAGAGATATAAGTCGAGAAAATGTTTCGATAATGAGGTCTAGAGCCTTGATATTTAATAAAATCAGGTTAGTTCTTTCCCGTGGAAAGTTTTTTTTTCTTTTTTTTTTTTTTTGGGAAAGTTTTCCTCCAATGGAGGAAAGACAAAAAAAAATGGTTTAAGATTCCTATCATGTTGCAGTTCCTTTATTTTATTTCAATTGGAAAGAAAGTGGTTAGCATAAATCAAAATAATTGGTCTTAAAGGCAAAGAGAAAATTAAACTAAAAGTAATAAACCAGCAGCAGTAACTTGCAAAAAAGCATGTTAGTTGTTTGCAAACACAGGATATAGGCCACAAGGGAAAGCAAAGCACGAAAGAAAAGATTACAGCCAATATTTTCTCACTGGGAGCAAAGCTCAATTTATTTAGGACCGCCCCAATGTGATTTGAAATTTTTTAAAAAAACGAGCATCATTAAAACCCTGACAACGAGCCTGCTAATTTTCTTCACTAAAGCTTGCCGGGAACATCTTGGTAGCTATAATAATTATGAAGTAATTAGAACTGATTATAAATGATAAATATTGTAATGTTGATAATTACTTACACAATAATAAAGGCAGGGTAAAAGACAGCCGGTTTGGTCTAAGACAGTGATGACTAACCTTTTTGCCGTCGCGTGCCAAAAACGGGGGGAGTGTGGAGGGGTCACGCGTGCGCATGCCCACACCCTTAATTCAATGCGCCCTGCCTCCCCGCGCTTTTGGCACGTGATGGCTCAGTGGGCCCGTTTTTTTGCCCTCCCCAGGCTCCAGAAGCCTTCTTGGAGCCTGGGGAGGGCAAAAACAGCCTTCCCCACCATCCCCAGAGGCCAGAAATGGCCCATTCCCCACTTCTGGGACAGGAAGGCCCGTTTTTTTGCCCTCCCCAGGCTCCAAAGGCTTTCTAGGATGCTGGGGAGGGTGAAAACAGCCTTCTCCAGGGCCTCAGAGGGCCTCCAGAGGCCAGAAACAGCCTGTGATGGGCCCGGAAGGCCCAAAAATCAGGTGGCCGGTGTGCACATGCGCGCTGGAGCTGAGCTAGGGCAACGCTTGCGTGCCCACAGATATGCGTGCCATAGGTTCGCCATCACGGGTTTAAGGCTTAAGGCACCAGGCTAGAAACCAGGAGACGGTGAGTTCTAGTCCCATGTTAGCCATGAAAGCTGGCTGGGTGACTTTGGGCCAATCACCAGGAGACAGTGAATTCTAGTCCCGCTTACCTATGAAAGCCACCTGGGTGACTTTGGGCCAATCACCAGGAGACGGTAGAGTCTAGTCCCGCCTTAGCTACCAAAGCCACTGGGTGACTTTGGCCCAATCACTCTCTCAATCCAGCCCACCTCACAGGGTTGTTGTGGGGAAAACAGAAGGAGAAAGGAATATTACGTATGTTCGCCTCCTTGAGTTATTTATAAAAGCGACATAGGCGGAATATAAATCCCTAAATAAAATAAAATAACCTAATAAAGAAATAAAAACAAGGGCGAGACCTAACGAAGCTTTCCTTGGTTCCCTCCCTCAACCTTTCCCTCCTGCCTTCCTTCCTGTCGCGCCCCCGAAATCTCTCAGAGCTCTGGAAGAAGACGCCAGACTGGAACGAGGCTTACAGCAAAGACGTCACAAGATGAGTCGGCGGGAAAAGTGCCGCGTCAGCTGAGAAGGGCTCCTGCCTTCGTCTCCGACACCCACCCTGCAGTGTGGGGTTTCCCGAACCGCCACCGACCTTTCGCCTTCCGACGCTGCTTCCGGCTTGCTGCGCTCTGTTCATGCCCAGGAGAAAGTCTCTGTGGACTTTTCCCCACTTTTGAAGGGCATAAATTAAGATGCACTTAATATTTTTCTTTTTTTTTTTTAAACCTCTGGGGGGGGAAAAAAAAACAAACTTTTGATAGGGATTTTTCTCTCGATCTGGGGGAGATATTTGCAACGATCTGCTTTAGAAACTTATTTATTGGTTTGCGTGTGTCCGTGTGTTTGCCTTGCCTGCCTGCGTGCATACCAGGAGGTTCTGAGTTCGAAAACGGGTTCTGAGTTTTTGCCAGAAGCCGCCTTTTACTTTTTGAATGTTTCTCTTTTTTTAAAAAAAAAAACAATCCACGCTTGATGGTACCAAAGCCACCGAGTGCCTTAAATGCTTCTAGTGCCAAATGGAATGACGGGCAAAACTTAACGCCCATCTCTTCCTGAAATTCGAGCTCCTGAGTATTTGCACTAAATTTGTACTGGACTTCGGAATAAATTGTTTTGAAAATACGAACAACAGGTGAGTGATGCAAAGAGCCGGAAGGGAAGAGCATCAGTGGTGGGTTTCAGTTTTTTTTGTACTACCGGTTCTGTGGGCGTGGCTTGGTGGGCGTGGCAGGGGAAGGGTACTGTAAAATCTCCATTCCCACCCTACTCCGGGGGAAGGATACTGCAAAGTCCCCATTTCCTCCCGATCAGCTGGGATTTGGGAGGCAGAGAAGAGATGGGGGCGGGGCCAGTCAGAATTTTTACTACCAGTAATGTGGGTGTGGCTTGGTGGGCATGGCATGGATTAGTGGGCGTGGCAAGGGAAGGATACTGCAAAATCTCCATTCCCACCCCACTCCAGGGGAAGGATACTACAAAATCCCCATTCCCTCCCCATCAGCTGGGACTCGGGAGGCAGAGAAGAGATGGGGGCGGGGCCAGTCAGAATTTTTACTACCAGTTCTCCGAACTACTCAAAATTTCCACTACCGGTTCTCCAGAACTGGTCAGAACCTGCTGAAACCCACTTCTGGAGGGCGTGGATTCATTCACAGCACGGATTCAATCCTAATACAGTACAGGTTAGTCTTTGAGTTACAATTACTCATTTAACAACCAAAATTACAACAGGACTGGGAAAAAAAAGCTGCAGCTAATCCCTGACCACAATCGAGCCCAAAATTTCTGTTGCTTAAGTGAGTTTTGTCCCATTTTACCTTCTTTCTTGCCATGGTTGTTGATTGAATCATTCCAGTTAGAATAGAATGAGAGTTGGAAGGGGCCTTGGAGGTCTTCTAGTCCAACCCCCTGCTTAGGCAGGAAACCCTACACCACTTCAGACAAATGGTTATCTAATTTTTTCTTAAAATCTTCCAGTGTTGCAGCATTCACAACTTCTGGTGGCAAGTTGTTCCACTGGTTAATTGTTCTCACTGTCGGGAAATTTCTCCTTAGTTCTAAGTTGCTTCTCTCCTTGGTTAGTTTCCACCCATTGCTTCTTGTTCTACCTTCAGGTGCTTTGCAGAATAGCTTCACTCCCTCTTCTTTGTGGCAGCTCCTGAGTTGTTTACTTAGTAACGGGGTTGTTAAGTGAATCTGGCTTCTCCATTGACTTTGTCAGAAGGTCCTGGACTTACAGCAGTTCGTTCAAAGTTACAACAGCGCTGTAAAAAAAGTAACATACGCTTTTCACACTTAATGTTCCAGCATACCCATCGTCATGTGATCAAAATTCAGATGCTTAGCAACTGACTCGCATTTATGACGATCGCACTGTCCCCGGGGTCAGTGGGATCACCGTTTGAGAAACAAAGTCAATGGGGAATCCGGATTCACTTCACCCTGTTAGTAACTTAAACTGCAGTGATTCACTTAACAACTGCGGCATAAAATGGAGTAAAAACCCGCTTAATGAATGTTTCACTTAGCGACAGAAATTGGGGCTCGATTGCGGTCGTAAGTCGAGGATTACCTGTATTGGGAGAGATTTCGGAGTGCGGTGAATGTATGGTGAGGGGTACACATTAAGGGGCACCCTTTTCAGTTAAAGTTTTTGGGGAGCAGGGTTCGAGATTGAAGGTCAATGCAAGTTGATCCCTGGTCACGATTCCCACATGATCATCAGCCTCCAATATCGGTCTGCGGGACGGAGCAAAGAAACGGACGAGAGCACGGATTTCTTGCAGCCGGTAAATTGTTTCCAGGGTCACGAGCATGGCTAGCAAACCGGTAAGTAGGTAGCCTATAAAAGGGAGAAAAGAAGATAAAAGTGACTTTTCAAATTAACCTGATAGTGAGAATTAACCAGTGGAAAGGCTTGCCACCAGAAGTTGTCACGGCTTCATCCCTGGAGGTTTTCAAGAAGAGACTGGACTGCCATCTGTCCGAAATGGTGTAGGCAGGGCCTCCTGCTTGGGCAGGGGGTTGGACTAGATGACCTAAAAAGTCTCTTCCAACTCTGTTAAATGTCTCCATTCTCCTCTTCACTGCAATTCTGCTTCCTGGACCTTGGTGGTCCTCCAAGCCGAATGAGCCAACAGCAAAGGGGGGGGGGAAGGTCATTTAAGGGACTCTTGTGACACCGGTTCCTGGCGGCCAACCCTCCCATTTTAACTTCACGATGACTTACACGTGATGCTCAATTCGTAAAACCCGTGTAGCGACGGGGGAGACACGACGCGGGGTACGAAATCCCCCAGGCCGATGGTGCTGAGCGAGATGAAGCAGAAGTAGACGGACTCCAGAAAGGTCCAGTTGTCCTTGAAGATCCAGAAACAGACGGCCGGGATGACGATGAAGAGGCTCACGGTGGCCATCGCCATCCCCACGGAGTGTCCTAAGGCCACGTGCCCCCGTGGGAAGCCCCAGCGGCTGTGAATGTATTGCACCGGCCGGTACGTTAGGATGGGCAACAGGCCGCGGAGTAAACATCGGACGAACAATATGGTCACCGGGATGCCCACAAAGCAATAAAGGATGCTGATAATTTTGCCCCCGTCCGAGAGAGGAACCAAGTTTCCGTAACCTAGAATCAAGAAGCAACGGAGAGGATTAAAAGCCTGGAAGCTAAAACTCTGCAACGAATGATTGAGGGAATTACGTAGTCTACTTTTCAGGGGTCTCTCCACCAAGTTGGCAACTTTTAAGACTTTGTGGACTTCGTAACTGGCTGGGAAACTCTGGGAGTAGAAGTCTTTAAAAGTTGCCCAACTTTTGGAGAGTCCTGGTTTAGTTGAACGAAGAGGAGGATTGGGGGGGGGGGAGGTAATAATTGTATTCCAGTACTTTGAGGGGCTGTCACAGAGAAGAGGGGGTATTGGACTAGAAAACCGCTAAGGTCCCTTCCAACTATCCTGTCCTGTGCTGTTATTCCCTTCTTTTCTTTTCTCTTCCATCCCATCCTCCTTTCCTTTTCCTTTCTTCCCTTCCCTCTCTTTTTCCTTTCCTTTCCTTTTTCCTCTCCTTCTTTTTCCTTTCCTTTCTCTCTCTTTTTCCTTCCCTTCCATCTTTCTTTTTCTTTTCCTTTTTCCTTTCCTTTCTCTCTCTTAATTTTCCTTTCCTTTCCCTCTTTTTCCTTCCCTTCCGTCTTTCTTTTTCCTTTCCCTCTTTCTTTTTCCTTCCCTTCCCTTCCATCTCTTTCTTTTTCCTTTCCTTTCCTTTCTCTCTCTTAATTTTCCTCCCCTTTCTCCTTTCCCTTCCCTCTTTTTTCCTTTCCTTCCTTTCCCTCTCTTTGTTTTTCCTTTCCTTTTCCTTTCCTTTCCCTCTTTTTCCTTTCCTTCCCTTCCTTTCCCTCTCTTTTTCTTTTCCTTTCCTTTCCTTCCTTTCCCTCTCTTTCTTTTTCCTTTCCTTTCCCTCTTTTTCCTTTCTTTTCCTTTTCCTCTTTTTGCTTTCCTTTCCTTTGGAACCTCTTTCCTGATAGGGCTGTAGGAGTGTCATAGGAGCAAATTATACTCAACGATTCCCCACCAGGAAAATCACAATGGATTTAGTTCTTAAGGCCTGGTGCAATTTGATGTTCTTTGCCATGGCTAAATGCCAGAAATTTACTTCGCTTCTCCCAAAAATAATAATAGAGGGACAGGATGCCAAGCGGGCCTCAGTGACCTTCAACAGAATCTGCCCCCATGTTCAATAGCAAATAAAAATGGCTTCCCAATTCACTAAGTTGGGCTGAAACACAGCTTGTAAAGCTAGAGCTACGATAATCCTCCACTTACAACCACAACTGACCTTAAAATACTTGTTACTAAGCAAGACAGTCGATAAGTGAGTTTTGCCCCATTTTACGACTTTCCTTGCCACAATTGTTAAGTGAATCACTGCAGTTATCAATCCGGGCTAATGGGGTTTAACTTCTGTAGCTAATCAACTAATTTGTCGGTTAATTTCTGGAAGTCCTTGACATACGACCGCAACGGAGCCCAAAATTTATGCCGCTAAGCGGGACATGAAGTGAGTTCTGCCCCGTTTTACAACCTTCCTTGCCACAATTATTAGGTCAAGGTAGAAACCCGGTTGTGAAGTGAATCTGGCTTCCCCGTTGACTTTGCGTGTCAGAAGGTTGCAAAATGGGATCACATGTCTGCAACCGTCATAAATACGAGTCAGTTGCCAAGTGCTTGAATTTTGATCACGCGATCATGGGGGATGCTGCATAACAGTCGTAAGTGTGAGGACCGGTCCTAAGTCAATTTTTTCAGTGCTGCTACAACTTCAAACGGTCACTAAATGAATGGCTGCAGGTCAAGGATCAGCTGTGTCTCAAGCTGGCATTTAATGCCAAGTGCCACACCTGAGAAGAAAGATGGCATCTGACATTGTCCATCTTTAGCAGAAATAATTCCAGACAAGGACATCCTATTCTTTTTTTTTTTTTTCATTTTGAACCTGTGAATTTCTCAATTTTGATGGGGATGGCAACAGACAGAACGCAGTTGGTGTCTACTGCAAAGTAACTGCTTTAATGCGAAAATCTCTTTAGAATTGAAGAGAATTAGAAGAGAAAAGAAATAGAAAAGAAGAGAAGAGAATTAGAATAGAATAGAAATAGAATAGAATATTATTATAGAATAGAATAGAAATAGAAATAATAGAAACAAATATAGAGAAATAGAATAGAATATTATTATAGAATAGAATAGAAATAGAATAGAATATTATTATAGAATAGAATAGAATAGAAATAGAATATTATAGAATAGAAATAGAATAGAAATAGAAATAAACAAATATAGAAATAGAATAGAATATTAGAATAGAATAGAAATAGAAATAATAGAAACAGAAATATAGAAATAGAATAGAATAGAATATTATTATAGAATAGAAATAGAAATAGAAAAATAGAAATAGAATAGAAATAGAATAGAATATTATTATAGAATAGAAATAGAAATAATAGAAACAAATATAGAAATAGAATAGAATAGAATATTATTATAGAATAGAATATTATAGAATAGAATAGCAATAGAATAGAATATTATAGAATAGAATAGAAATAGAAATAATAGAAACAGAAATATAGAAATAGAATATATTATTATAGAATAGAATAGAAAGAGAATAGAATATTATTATAGAATAGATAGAAGAGTATAGAATAGAATAGAAATAGAAATAGAAACAAATATAGAAATAGAATAGAATATTATAGAATAGAAATATGAATAATAGAAACAAATAGAAAATAGAATAGAATAGAAATAGAATAGAATATTATAGAATAGAAATAGAAATAATAGAAACAAATATAGAATAGAATAGAATATTATTATAGAATAGAATAGCAATAGAATAGAATATTATAGAATAGAATAGAAATAGAAATAATAGAACAGAAATATAGAAATAGAATATAATAGAATATTATTATAGAATAGAATAGAATAGAAAGAGAATAGATATTATAGAATAGAAATAGATTATAGAATAGAATAGAAATAGAAATAATAGAAACAAATATAGAATAGAATAGAATATTATAGAATAGAAATATGAATAATAGAAACAAATATAGAAATAGAATAGAATAGAAATAGAAATAGAATAGAATTATAGAATAGAAATAGAATAGAAACAAATATAGAAATAGAATAGAATATTATTATAGAATAGAATAGAATATTATTATAGAATAGAATAGCAATAGAATAGAATATTATAGAATAGAAATAGAAATAATAGAAACAGAAATATAGAATAGAATATTATTATAGAAAAGAATAGAAATAGAAATAGAAACAAATATAGAAATAGAAATAGAATAGAATATTATAGAATAGAAATAGAAATAATAGAAACAGAAATACAGAAATAGAAATCGAATATTCTAGAATAGAATATGGCACCCGCCAACTGGAACGAGCCTTCCCCCGCCCCCCTCCCCAAACGGAGGATCCCGGATCTGCGCGCTTTCCGCCATGCCCTCAAAACACTCCTATTCCAGCAGGCCTGGCCTCACCTCTCTCTTAAACTGTTTTTTAAATTTTTTTAAATTTTATATTTGTCTTATAAATTCGGGGTGTTTAAAATTTTGTTTTCTGGGCCAAATTATTTCATTGTATTTTAATTGGTTTTTTAACATTCGTATTATAGGTATTATATCTTTTGGCCGTTCACCGCCCTGAGGCCTTCGGGAGTGTAGGGCGGTATACAAATTCAATTATTATTATTATTATTATTATTATTATTATTATTATTATTATTATTATTATTATTATCATCATCATCATCATCATCATCATTAATATTAATATTATTAATAATAATAGAATTGTCCTGCGCAGACCCAACTTGGCTGGGGTTGGACTGGATGACCTCCGAGGTCCCTTCCAACTCTTATTACCTGTCCTGCGCAGACCCAACCTAGGGCTGCCTCCGTTCCCGCCCTTTTTCTTTTTTTTTTTCTTGCCCCCTCCCCCCCTCAAGCAAGCTTGACCCGGGCTCCGCTGGCACCGGAGGGCAGACGCGTGTCAGGCGCGCGTCGTGGGAAGGCAGGCGCTCACCGGTGGTGGTGAGGGCGCTGGCGGCGAAGAAGAGCGCCGAGGTGAACTCCCAGGCGGGGTCCGCCGAGCCGTTGCCCAGGGCGGAGGCGCCGTAGCCCCGGGCGGCCAGGACTCGCCCCAGCAACCCGGCCAGCTGCTCTTCGGCCAGGCAGGGCCGGTGCTCGGCCAGCAGCGAGGCGCGGGCGGCTTGCAAGCCGGCCACCAAGGCGCGCTCGGCGGGCGCCTCCAGGGCTGCGAAGACGGCGGCGCCCAGCAGCAAGAAGAGCCCGTAAGCGGCCAGCAGCAGCCCGAAGCGCCCCGGCCGCTCCATCCAGGTGAGCTGAACTGGCAGGTGAGCCGCCCCGCCCCCGCAAGCCCCGCCCCCTTTGGGGATGATGGGGGGGACTTAAAACTGTTGGAAGTCGAGGATTACCTGTAAGGGGGGAGGGAATGGGAGGCCCAGGAGGAGATCACGGCCTTGGGATGGGAATGCTGCTGCTGCTGGAGGCTCTACGACTGGCCCTTTTGGGGGTCCCTGTAGGTGGGATGGGAGACCACTAGGAAATCACACCTTTCAGAGGGGAATGCTCCTGCTGCTGGAAGCTCTACGACTGGCCCTTTTGGGGTCCCTGTAGGTGGGATGGGAGACCACTAGGAAATCACGCCTTTCAGAGGGGAATGCTCCTGCTGCTGGAAGCTCTACGACTGGCCCTTTTGGGGTCCCTGTAGGTGGGATGGGAGACCACTAGGAAATCACGCCTTTCAGAGGGGAATGCTCCTGCTGCTGGAAGCTCTTGCCTGCCCTTCAGGGTCCCTGTAGGTGGGATGGGAGGCAACTAGGAAATCACGCCTTTCAGAGGGGAATGCTCCTGCTGCTGGAAGCTCTACGACTGGCCCTTTTGGGGTCCCTGTAGGTGGGATGGGCGACCACTAGGAGATTATGCCTTTGAGACATGCCCACCCTTTTGGGGTCCCTGTAGGTTGGATGGGAGGCCACTAAGAAATCACGCCTTTCAGATGGGATTGCTCCTGCCGCTGGAGTCTCTTGCCGGCCCTTCAGGATCCCTGTAGGTTGGATGGGAGACCACTAGGAGATCACACTTTTGAGACACGCCCATCCTTTTGGGGTCCCTGTAGATGGGAGTCCCTAGTGGATGGGAGACCACTAGGAGATCACACCTTTGAGACATGCCCGCCCTCTTGGGGTCCCTGTAGGTGGGATGGGAGGCCACTAAGAAATCATGCCTTTCAGATGGGATTGCTCCCGCCGCTGGAGTCTCTTGCCTGCCCTTCAGGATCCCTGTAGGTGGGATGGGAGGCCACTGAGAAATCACGCCACTGGAGGCTCTCAGGGGCCCTCACTCCTTTGGGGTCCCAGCTGGAAAGAAGAGCCTGGCCTGGGGATGTTGTTCGTGTGGGCCGGCCTACCTTGCAGGCTTGTTGTTGGATGGGGAGGAAAGCAAGAAGGACAGGTTGTTTCTCTATAACCTGTCCATCTCCGGGCTTCAAGGCAAGCTGGCCATTGGACCGAGCCACTGAAGGAACCGTCTCGCCCGAAATACCATTTTTCTTCCTGTACATAATGTGCCAAACCAGTCACGTTTCTATGGCTTCAGTCCGATTGGTGACTTTGCTGATGCCCGACGTTTATTTATTTCTTTAGCGTCTCAAGCAGCAGAACATAGAATATCAGAGTTCGAAGGGACCTTGGAGGTCTTCTAGTCCAACCCCCCTTTTCCTGCAAAGCAGGAGACCCTCTGCCATTTCAGACCAATAGCTATCCAATCTCTTCTTTAAAAAAACCTCCAGGGATGGAGCGCCCACCACTTCCGGTGGCAAGCTGTTCCAATGGTTAACTGTCCTCCCTGTTAGGCGGTTTCTCCTTAATTCCAAGTTGCTTCTCTCCTTGATTGGTTTCCATCCGTTGCTTCTTGTTGTGCTTTCTGGTGTTTTGGAAAATAATTTGACCGACACCCCCCCTCTTCTTTGTGGCAGCCCCTCGAATCCTGGAACACTTCTATTGGGTGTGTCCCCCCCCCATCCCCAATTCTTCTTTTCTCTAGACCAGGGGTCTGCAACCTTAAACACTCAGAGAGCCATTTGGACCCGTTTCCCACAGAAAAGAAAACACCGGGAGCCACAAAAACCTTCCCGTGCCTGACTATTCCTTGAGCGGCCACAAAACTAGCATATGTAGTTGAATTAAACGTTCTGTTTTCTTCTGAAACTTTTCTTTTCTTGGATTTATCCATGGTTAAAAAGCTCAATAAATTGCGTGCCGGCGGGTGTCGCACATTGGCGGTTGGGACGCATATTCTGAGTGACAGGGAGCCGCAGCAGAGGGGTGAAAGAGCCACATGCGGCTCCAGAGCCACAGGTTGCTGACCCCTGATCTAGACTAGCCAAACGCAAATCCTGCAATCGTTCTTCCTATGTTTTTAGTCTCCAGGCCTTTAATCGTCTTAGTTGCTCTTCTCTGCACTTTTTCCGAAGTCTCAACATCTTTCTTTTTGTAATGTGGCGACCAAAACTAGACGCAGTATTCCAGCTGGGGTCTTACTAAGGCTTTGTAAAGTGACATGGCATAACATACATGGACTTACAATGTATATTAATATTTCACCTAAATTAAAAACACAGTAAAATATGAAAGTTTTAAAAAAAAAATCTGTATTCAGATACCGATGTCTTGGCCGGCTAACCATTGAACGGGGGCATCTGAAAGAAATCAGAAACTGGACCAGCTGGCCATGATGTGATCTACAGTTCGATGTAGATTCTCGTCTGAAAGGAGTGATTTCCTAGTGGCCTCCCATCCCACCTACAGGCAGTCCTCGACTTACAACACTTTGTTTAGTGGCCAAAGTTACAACGGCACCGAAAAAAGTGACTTTGGGCCGTTCTTTCTCACTTAACGACCATTGCAGCGTCCCCGTGGTCAAAATTCAGATGCTTGGTAGCTGACTCATATTTATGACGGTCGCAAGTGTCCCAAGGTCACGTGATCCCCCTTTTGCGACCGTCTGACTTTCCACGGGGAAGACAGATTCACTTAACAACCGTGTGACTAACTTAAGAGCTGCAGGGATTCACTTAACCACGGTGGCAGGAAAGGTCACAAAACGGGGCAAAACTCATTCAATGACGGTCTCACTTAGCAACAGAAATGTGGGGCTCAATTGTGGTCGTACGTCGAGGACTACCTGTATTCGCAGGACCCAGACTTATTTCCTTTTTCTCAAATAGCTAAGGGAAGCTAAATGCTGCCCCCTGCTGTTCCTGCTTTGCCAAAGGCTACCTTCCTGTTAACTTTCTACAACGACCCTATCAGGTAGGGTCCTTCCTGTCTGGACAGAAGTCTTTTTTTTTTTTTTACTAAACTGTAACTTATCTCGCAAACTCGATGTCAGCTCACAACTCGGTAGTCAATTTAACATCCAGGATCAGAATAATATATTTATAGGAACTTCGTCTTGTCAATGAATTAATTGCTTCATTTCCTTGCAAATATGTTAAGCTGCTCAGCTATGCATTCTCTCCACACACGGCTCAGGGAAGGTGCCCAAAATGTATTCTGGGTGATTTCGTTAGTGTGGGGGTGAAAAATCAGGTGCTTTGGAGAATTGGTCGACCCCTCAAATATTGGAAGACTAGTATCATGTCTCCCCTAGTCCTTCTTTTCATCAAACTCGACATACCCAATTCCAGCAACTGTTCTTTATACGTTTTAGCCTCCAGTCCCCTAATCATCTTTGTTGCTCTTCTCTGAACTTGTTGTGACCTAAGCTTCCTGAGTTATTAAAAAACACGAGTAATCCCAAAAACCTCTTTTATTGCAACAGCTGTGAATTACGTTCATTCATTTTTGCAATTAGTTGCAAAAAGTCCTTCAGGAGAAGTCCTTCAGGATAATCACCAACCTTTATCTCCCTCGACACGCTGCCAAAGCAAGGGGCTGGACTAGAAGACCTCTAAAGTCCCTTCCAGCTTTTATTCTATTCTAGTGACAGAATAAGAGTTGGAAAGGACCTTGGAGGTCTTCTAGTCCAACCCCCTGCTTAGGCAGATAACCCTACACCACTTCAGACAAATGGTTATCCGATATCTTCTTAAAAAGTTCCAGTGATGGTGCGCACATAACGTCTGGTGGCAAGCTGTTCCACTGATGAATTGTTCCAACTGTCAGGAAATTTCTCCTTAATTCTAAGTTGCTTCTCTCCTTGATGAGTTTCCAGCCATTGCTTCTTGTCCTGCCCTCAAGTGCTTTGGAGAATAGCTTGACTCCCTCTTCTTTGGGGCAGCCCCTAAGATATCGGAACACTGCTATCATGTTTCCCTTTGTCCTTCTTTTCATTAAACGAGACATACCCAGTTCCTGCAACCGTCCATCCTATGTTTTAGCCTCCAGTCCCCTAATCTTCTTTGTTGCTCTTCTTCCTTTGGAAAAAAACATTTTGGGACATCCTGGAAAGTTGGCTAAGAGGAAGATAACCAGCTGCCGTACAGCACAAAAGCTGAATAAATTAGGAATTTATCAGTTTGTAACCATATCCTTTCCTTTACTCACTCGTGGTAGGAAGACACGTGATCTGCGTTCAGCAACAAATTTCAACGTATTGCAATGCTTTAGTTTAAGCAGAGGAGGGCAAACCTGCTTCCCCACCTCCGAAAAAGTCAGGGATTCTCCTTCCCCCATTCATTTTTGCAAATGGATTCACAGCCTCAGAGGAGAAGTTAAGTCAACCGCACAATTCATTTAAGAACTGCAATGTTTCACTTAACAACCAGGGGAAGAAAAAAAGTTAGAAAATCAAATGGGACAAACTTAACAACGGCCTCGCTTTAAGTAACCAAAATTCCATTTTCCTAACTGCATTTTCAGAGATGATTCACTGCGGACAAAGGAGCTAGTCCCTCACGTTTGCCCATAAATCCTTGAATTACGACAAGGGAGCCCAACGTTTCTGTAGTGAAGCGAGACATTGGTTAAGCGAGTCATTGCCCCATTTTACGACCTTTCTTGCCACTGTCGTTAAGCGAACCCCTGCAGTTTGATAAGTCGATCACCCTGGTTGTTAAGTGAATTTGGCTCCCCCATTGACTTGGCTCGTCAGAAGGTTGCAAAAAGGGGAAATCACGTGGCCTTGGGACACAGCAATGGTTGTAAGTATGAAACGGTTGCCAAGCCTCCGAATTTTAATCATGTGAATCATGGGGGAAGCTGCAAAAGTTGCAAGTGTGCAAAACGGCCATAAATCCCTTTTTTTCCAGTGCCGTTGTAACTTGGAATGGTCACTCAATGAAGTCTGTTGCAAGTTTGAGGACTACCAGTATAAGTGGAGGGTGGAATGAGCACAATGTGGCTTTGAAACTACAGTAGTGGCCAAAATTGTGGAAACCTTTTGGGAAAAGTGTATTTTCTAAAATTTAGCTAATAACACCACTTTTTTGAATAGTACCATAAAATTATATATATCAATGGAAAGATAATTTAATCAAGAATGTAATGCAATAACTTTTATGAAGGATTTGCTATTAGAATAGCAGTTACAGTATAAAGAAGAAAAGTGAAACACATAGAAAAAAACAAGATATACAAAAATCATCACCATGTCAGTTAATCTTTAGTTGGGTAACGTTTAGCATGAATGACGGCCATACAATGTCTTCCCATGGAAACTATTGAAGTAGAATTAAAACATGGTTAGAAGAAAAGCTTCAACAACGTAGGGATTTAAAACCGGAGCTGTTCCTATTGGGTATCCTACCAGAGAAAATTAGTAAAGAAAATATATATTTGATTATACATGTAATAACTGCAGCGAGGATAGTATTTGCACAAAGATGGCAAGCAGAGAAAATCCCTTCAGAAGGGGAAGCAACCAAGAAAATTTTAGACTGTGCAGAAATGAATAGATTGACTTTGGTAATTAAAGAAAGAGAGGATACAGAATATTTTAAGTTCTGAAGACAATTTTACCATTGGTTAGAGAAGAGATATAGATAAATGTATTAATAGTAAATAAGAGAATGTTATAATAAATGAATTGTGGGGAGAACGTTATAACAAGGGAATGGAAAATATTAAGGAAGGATGAAGATAGGAGGAGCAATAATAATAATAATAAGCCACTGAAGAAACACCAAGATGTGTGAAGGCGAACCTATGGCATGTGTGCCACAGGTGGCACACAAAACCATATCAGTGGGCACATGAGCTCAGCTCTAGTGGGCATGCACGCGCCAGCCAGCTGATTTTCGGGCCTTCTGGGCCCACCAGAAGTAGGGAAAACAGGCTGTTTCCAGCTTCCAAGTGGGTGGGGAAGGCCATTTTCGCTCTCCCCAGGCTCCTAGAGAGGCTCCGGAGCCTGGGGAGAGCAAAAAATGGGCCTATCAGGCCCACTGTGCCATCATGCGCCAGAAGAACAACTGATTATATATTGTGTGTTTGTTTATAAAATAAAAAAAAAAATGGAAAAAAAAATCACTATGTCAGTTAATCCTTAGTTGGGTAGCCTTTAGCATCAATTATGGCCTTACAAGGTCTTCCCATGGATTGAACCAAGTCTTTTAGTTCTGCAGCTATTATCATATGAAACCAAGATTGAATGATGGCTTCTATTAACTGGGTTTTATTGCTGGATCGCTTCTGACTAACAAAGTTTCTTTAGTCGACTCGATAGATTTTCCATTGGGTGAAGGTCTGGGCTATTCCCAGCAGTAGAATAGGATTATCTTGAAACTCCAGAAAAAAAGTGGGGTTATTAGCCATCAAACCTCAAAAATACATTTTTCCCAAAAGGTTTCCACAATTTTGGCCACTACTATAGATGCCACCCAACTCCACACGCAATGATGCGCAATCACCTCCTTTCCCCCGTTTTTTTTTTTTTTTTTTTGTCTCGCCGATCCGAATGCCCAAACAGACACGTGCGCAGAATGGCAATATCCAGAGGTTTATTTGGTCTCGTTTCACAGGCTCGGGCCGCCCCAATGCTGGGACGGTCCTGAACACAGTTGGCTGCCCCCACCCCACCCCCTGCTCACGGGAGTGTGTGCATGCACATACGGAGCAGGGAGTCAGAGCAGAGGGAGCCCGGCACATGTGTGAATAATTTCAAGTGGGGGGGGGGGAAAGACACAGTAGAATTGCACACACAAAGTGCTTTGGGAGTGCCTCGGTCGTGCGGGAATTTCCTCTGCTTTTTTCGCTTTGGCCTCAAGACGAGGGCTGAGGAGGGGGCTGCACGGACCCTGCCCCCCCCCTCGCCATTTGTTCCCCAGCCCCTTTTTGTCCTTGGCTCTCTTGGTGTGCAAAAAAGACAAACTTTGGGCAAAGGCCTCAATTGGCTGGAATTTTTTTTCGGGGTGGGTGAGTGGGAGGGAATGGAAAGCTAACCAGGACCGTGGAGTGGGGGTGTCTCGATCCCGGTGTCGTTTTCCCCACCCACCCACCATGAATGGGGAAGATCTACTGGCGTGGGGGGTAGTGGTAAGGGAGACGAGGCGAGAACCCAGATAGCTGCCTGTAAGGAGGAACCAGGATGGCAACGGGGAAAGGGCACCACAAGGTGAGCCAGCTTAAGTGTTCATTGCATAGTGGAGATGTGGGGAGGAAGTTAGCCCCGCTTTGTGTGTCGCCACCGAGCTTCCAGGTTTTGTTTTTTGAAAAATGTCCTTCCCCTGTAGGACAGCGGTCTGTGGTCCTCGGATTTTTGGCCACACGACAGGCCACGGTCCCATGACGTGAAGCCTGGCAGGCGTATTTCTGGAAACGGCATCCCTGGTCATTTGGGGATCGGGGGGCAGGAGGCCTCTCCCCACCAGGACGAGGCTGGCAAATCCTCTTGCGGAGTCGGGAGTGGTCTGGAGGTCCAGCAAACCGGGGGGCTGAGCGTCTCTGGGGCTGCCCGCATGGGGGTCCCGAGAAAAGGGTCGGCAGGTGCCGGAAAGTCCACCCAGGCGAAGGGATCCGAAGTGGGCGCCCCGAAAGGATTGGTGCTTTCGGGACGGAGTGGTTTGAGCTGACGTGGCCCCAGGCGTGGGGACTGGACCGGGGTGACCGCTGGCGAGGCCCGAGATCCTGACGATACGAAGCTCCAGGGGTCGATCCGGCTGCGGATAGGAGAAGGCCGGGGGCGGGAAATGAGGGTGGGGTGAAGGGAGGGGCGAGGGGAGCGGGGGCTGCGGGGGGAGGACAGCGACGGGAAAGCACCATCTACGGAAAGAGAGGAAGAGCAAAACTGCAATTGATCTAGGGAAGACATTTGGGTGCATCTAAGCTACAGATAGGTGGACTTCAACTCCCAGAATTCCCCAACCAGCATGCTTTAAGATGGGATGGACTTCAACTCCCAGAATCCCCCAGTCAGCTTGCTTTAAGATGGATGGACTTCAACTCCCAGAATCCCCCAGCCAGGTTGCTTTAAGATGGATGGACTTCAACTCCCAGAATCCCCCAGCCAGCATGCTTTAAGATGGGTGGACTTCAACTCCCAGAATCCCCCAGCCAGCTTGCTTTAAGATGGGTGGACTTCAACTCCCAGAATCCCCCAGCCAGCATGCTTTAAGATGGGTGGACTTCAACTCCCAGAATCCCCCAGCCAGCATGCTTTAAGATGGGTGGACTTCAACTCCCAGAATCCCCCAGCCAGGTTGCTTTAAGATGGATGGACTTCAACTCCCAGAATCCCCCAGCCAGCTTGCTTTAAGATGGGTGGACTTCAACTCCCAGAATCCCCCAGCCAGGTTGCTTTAAGATGGATGGACTTCAACTCCCAGAATCCCCCAGCCAGCTTGCTTTAAGATGGATGGACTTCAACTCCCAGAATTCCCCATCCAGCATGCTTAAAGATGGGTGGACTTCAACTCCCAGAATCCCCCAGCCAGCATGCTTTAAGATGGAGGACTTCAACTCCCAGAATCCCCCAGCCAGCATGCTTTAAGATGGACAGACTGCTGCCACTCACCCCACTTTTGAGCCTTGGGGATCCGGCCTTCCGCGACCTGTGGCACTCTGGGTGACTCTCGTATCCAGAGGGGGGGCAAGGCAGTCCTGTCCCCCACCGAGGCCAGGTCAATGAGGAGATCCGTGGCAGCCTCATCCTTGCAAGGCTCCACCTGGAGAGCAGGAGTGGAGTCTCTTTGGGGAGACGGCTTCTTAGAAGTTGGCCCCTCCACGGGCCCCTCCGGAGAGGGGACCGGCAATTCTCGGCCCAAGCCCAGGGATGCCAGCAAGGCTGAACCACGAAGTAGAACCCTCTGGATGAGTCGGGGCCCGTTCGGCCTTTCCAGTGTCTGGTCCTCAGTTTCTGCAGAGTTGACGGGAACATCGCCTGGAAAGACGAGACAGCGAGAAAAAAAAAAAGCGGTAATTTAAATTAAACTCAAATTTAAACCCAGATTGGATTGGGTTTCCTCTCGTTAGCCAATAGATTGGGGTCTGTTTCTAAAATATTTAACTCTGCTTTTCAGGCTGAGGGGCTTCCAGAATGAACGAACTAGATTAGGATGCTCTTTTTAATATCTTAAAAAAAGGCACAGCATAAAAGAAAAGATAAGGAAGAAAAATAAGACGTTCTGTCTTATTTTTAAAATGGAGAAATGCTAATTTTTTGGCTTGGAATAGAGCCTACATCGCAATATAATAATTGAAAATGACTATTAGGGCATTTTTATATTGTCTCTTTAGGAAGCACAAGGGAGACCTCGATTTACGACGACGGAGCCCCAAATTTCTGTTGTTAAGAGAGGCAGTTGTTAAGCGAGCCTTGCCCTCGTTTTACGAGCTCATTTGCCACGGTTATTAAGCGAACCAGTGCAGTTGTTAAATTAACTTAACACCGTTGTTAAGTGAATCAGGCTTTCCTATTGACTTGGCTTGTCAAAAGGTCGCAAAAGCGGATCATGTGACACATACACACCCCCGGGACGCTACGACCGTCATAAGTACGAATCCGACTTGCTAAGTGTCCGACTTTTGATCATGTGACCATGGGGGGGAGATGCTGCAATGGTCGTAAGTGTGGAAAAAAATGGTCATAAGTCGCTATTTTTCAGGACTGTTGTTGTAACTTGGAACGGTCCCTAACCGGAATGGTTGTAAGTCGAGGACTACTTGTAATTGCAATGATCAAAAGGAGGGGGAAGAAACTCACCGTTCTGGCTGGACTGAGAATGGAGCTGCGAGTGAGTAGGGGAAACGTCCGATTCTACGTACCACGTGGTCTCCTCTGGCCGTGATCTTCTCCTGCCGTGGAAAGAAACAAGGATCGGGGTGACAATTTTGAAAGCTCTGAGTCTGTGGGAGTCAGCGAATCCGCCAAAAATATTCCCGATATTTTATTCTGATGCTTCGTTGTGAGCGGTTAACTTTTAACAGATGAACAGAGTTGGAAGGGACCTTGTGGGTCATCTAGTCCAACCCCCTGCCCAAGCAGGAGGCCCTACACCATTTCTGACAGATGGCAGTCCAGTCTCTTTTTCAAAGCTTCCAGGGATGAAGCTCCCACAACTTCCGAAGGCAACTTCTGTTCCATGGATTGATCGTTCTCACTGTCAGAAAAATTCTCCTTATTTCTAGGTTGAAAATCTCCTTGATCGGTTTCCATCCATTCTTCCTTGTCTGGCTTTCGGGTGCTTTGGAAAATAGCTTGACCCCCTTCCTCCTCTCTGTGGCAGCCCCTCAAATATCGGAAGATGCTTTCATGTCTCCCCTGGTCCTTCTCTTCATTAAACTAGACATACCCAGTTCCTGCAATCGTTCATTTGTTTTAGCCTCCAGTCCCCTTATCATCCTGGTTGCTCTTCTCTGCACTTTTTCTAGAGTCACAACATCTTTTTTTATAGTGTGGTGACCAAAACTGGATGCAGGATTCTAGGTGTGCAGGATTTCTTAATCGCAGCAATTTAAAGATGTGTGGAGTTCGACTCCCAGAATTCCCCACCCAGCATGGAATTCTGGGAGTTGAAGTCCGCACATCGTAAAGTTGCAAAATACAGGTAGTCCTGTAATTTATGACCACAACTGAATCCCAACGTTTATGGTGCTAAGTGAGAAATTTGTTAAGTGAATTTTGCCCCGTTTTACGACTTTTCTGGCCGTCGTCGTTAAGCGAATCACTGCAGTTGTTAAGTTAGCCACATGGCCGTTAAATGAATCTGGCTTCCCCACTGACTTGACTTGCCGGAAAGTCGTAAACGGGGACCCTGCAACCGTCATAAACATGAAGCCGTTGAATTTTGTAGTGTTGCTACAAAGGTCGTAATTGTGAAAAATGATCATAAGTCACATTTTTCAGTGCCATTGTAACTTCGAACGGTCACTAAAGCAAACTGTTGTAATTTGAGGACTACCTGGGTTCCTTTAAAAAGAAGGAAAAAGAATCACTTTATAAGTAGGCCTTGACTTATGACTGTCATTGAGCTCAGAACTATGGCAGACGTTAAGCGGGTCATCCACATGGTTGCACTGAATCTTTTTTGCGACCGTTGTTAAGTGAATGTCCCAGTCATTAAATAAACCAGTTTTCTTCAATGGGCTTTTTTTTTTTTTTTTTTTTTGGCCAGAAGTAAATGCCAGAAATTTGACCAAACCCACCCAAAATGAACATGACCGAAAGACGCTGCGAATGTAAACGAGAAACGATTGCCAAATGACTCCGATGTGATTACGAGACTTTGTGGGGAGATCTGTAATAACTCTGAACAGTTGTTAAGCGAGGACTACCCATTTTGTTGGGGGGGAGAATGTCGCAAGACGGGGGACAGAATCCCCCCACTCCATTTCCTAAATTGTGCTATGAAAATCCTATTAATTGGTAGAAGGGGATGGCCCAGGGTTGAAATGCTCCCAGTTCGGACTGGATCACCTGATCCGGTAGTGATGGAGGCTGGGGGTTCGGAGAACCAGTAGCAAAAATCCCTGCCCCACCCCCCATTGCCCAGGTGAGCTGTGCAATCATCAGAGGCTTTTTTTAAATTATTTTTAAAAGCATTTTTTTCTATAACCTCTTTGGCCGAAAAAATGCTTTTAAAAGTAAAAAAAAAAAAAAAAGCTTCTGATGATCGCACTGCTCAGCTGGGATCATCAGAGGCTTTTAAAAACATTTTTTTCTACAACCTCTTTGGCCGAAAAGGTTATAGAAAAAATGTTTTTAAAAAGAAAAAAAAGCCTCTGCCGATCAGGCAAGTCAGCTGGGATCGTCAGAGGCTTTAAATGGATTTTTTTTAAAAAAATCCCCACCAAGCCATGCTCACAGAACCGGTAGTAACAAATTTTACATTTCACAACTGGGATGGCCCTGACCAATGGCGAAGAGGGTGAGATCGATGCTCTCTACCTGCCGTTTTGCGTACTGGCCTCAGACGTTTTAGGGGAGCCCGGGCTCTTGGTATGGCCGTTCCAAGTCTCATCGCCTCGACGGGGTGATTGACGGTTCCAGTTCTGATCGTTTTCACTTGGTTCTACTACAAGGAGGACAAAAGAAACAACAGGCAGTTAAACAAACCGTACAATTCTGACCGACGTGACCCAAGTGGTCCTCGACGTATAACCACAATGGAGCCCAAAACTTGTCGCTAAGTGAGATATTGGTTAATTGCCCCATTTTACGACCTTTCTGGCCACGGTTGTTAAGCGAATCATTGCCATTGATAAGTGAGTAACCTGGTTTGTTAAGTGAATCGGGTTTCCCTGTGGACTTTGGCTTGTCGGAAGGTCACAAAAGGGGGGTGGGGGTAGGGAAATCACATGATCTTGGGACACGGCAACGGTCGTAAGTATGAACCAGCTGCCAGTCTTTCCATTATTCAAGGGGCTGCCCCAAAGAAGAAGGGGTCAAACTATTCTCCAAAACACCAGAGGGCAGGATAAAGGGACAACGGACAGAAACTAATCAAAGAGAGAAGCAACCTGGAACTAAGGAGAAATTTCCTGAGAGGGAGGACAATTAACCAGGGGAACAGCCTGCCACCAGAAGATGTGGGTGCTTCATCAATATAGAACAGGGGTCCCCAACCCCAGGCCCACTAACGGGCCTTGAGCCCTTCAGAACTGGGCCGCAGAAGTGGAATCTATTAGGGTAGCCGTGTTAAACTCAATTTTATTGAGGGCCACATCAGGGCTGTGGTTGACCTGGGGGGGGCAGGGGGGAGTGACCGACTGGGTGGGTGTGGTCAACTGAGTGGGCGTGATCATCTTGACGCCACTCACTGGGCGTGGCCAACTGGGTGGGTGTAGCCAGCTTGAGGTTACTCCCCAAACTGCTGGCCTGATGTTTCCTCTTCGCATTGGATAGACCAGGCCGAAGCGATGCGGGTCGGTGCCTGGCATTTTCCAGGACGGCCCCGCGAGCTGGATCCGACCACATCGCAGGCCGAAGGCGGCCCACGGGCCATGTGTTTTGACACCCCTGTATGAAGGCCTACTCCTCTTCCTCTAATACCGTGATGGCAAACCTATGGCACGCATGCCCAAAGTGGCACGCAAAGCCATGTCGTTCGGCACGCGCGGCCTTTCCTGTTTGCCTAATGGGTTTCTGTCGCGGATGCACGCGTGACGATCAGCTATCCTTCGCCCGCGCGGCAGTGCCGAAAACCGGTGTGTACATGTGTTCCGGTCAGCTGATTGTCGGGTGCGCATACATACAAGAACCTGGAAGTTTGGCTTTTTCGGAGCACGATCCCTTCATGCGCGTGGTAGTACCGAAAACCGGCCTGCAGATGCGCGCCAGCCAGCTGATCTTCGGGCGCGCATGCGTGCTAGAACCTGGAAGTTTGGCTTTTCCGGAGCATGGCCCCGAAGAGCATGCCATGCACGTGCAAAGTTTCCGTGCAACTTTTTCCGCATTCGGTACCGAAAAGATTCACCGTCACTGCTATAATAAGTAAAAATAATACTCAACTTACAACCACAATTGGGACTGGACCCTTTGGTGGCACGGGAGCGTGTCTGATTTTCTGATCTTTTTGGCTGCGGTCCCTAAGTGAGTCACCGGCGTTAATTACGATAAATCCAGCCTCCCTCGCTGATTTTACGTGTCATAACCTGGCTGGGAAGATCCTAAATGGCAATCGGCGCGATTACGGGATCCTGCAGCCGTTGTAAATGTGAGCCCCATGGCCAAGCACCTGAGTTTTGATCATGTGACTGCAGGGATGCTGCAAACGGTCTTAAGTTTGAGGACTGGCTGCAAGTCACTTTTTTTTTTTTTCAGGGACTTTATAACCGAACAGTTGCTAAATGGGGGAGTCCTGGGTGCCCTCTGAGTTTGGTGGTTTTATTGGAGAAGCTAGAAGAGTACGGTTTGCGGAGTGGAAGAGGTAGAGGGGAGAAGGAGGAAGACGGTAAGCTCCTTGGCGCTCTCAGAGTTTGGTGGTTTTCTTAAAGACGTTTTATTACCCAACTAGGTACCATCATCAGTGCTAGAAGGGTGTTAGGTTTGTGGAGTGGAGGAAAATTAGAAGAGGAGGAGGAGGAGGAAGAAGACTGATGCCCTTGGTGCTCTCTGAGAACATTTCATTACCCAACTAGGTAACTTCATCAATGCTCACAGAAACCAAACTCCTCTCCCTTCTAAGCACTGATGATGTTACCTAGTTGGGTCATGAGACGTCTGCAAGAAAACAAACAAGCTCAGAGAGCATCAAGGACCCCATAGTTCAACCCTGCGCTACAAATACTCTTATCAGTCACTAAATGAACGGTCGTATAAATTGAGGATTGCCCCTATCGGCAACCTCTAAGCTCGTTTGAGATGTGTGTTGGGGATTTGTCCGGAGGGAAATCCACGCCACTCACACTGGATAGCTCGAAATCGTGGGAACGTCGGGGAGCCTCCAGCGCCCGCATCGAAGAAATCCTTCCTTTTATCCAGCCCCGGAGATGCTTGAACTGTAATGCGATGTTTAAAATCTGACAAAAGAAAGGAGAGAAAAATCATGAGAACCACCTTCTAACTGATCTAAGTCAGATCTAGCATTTTCTGCACTCGTCAACTAGTTAACCCTGGTCAGGGATTTTTCTTGTTTTGAAAAAAGAGAAATGGTTGCGGGTTTTTTTTTAAAAAAAATGATTAAAACGAGTTGCTAATCGCAGGCGCTAAGAAGCCTTTTCTGAGTCTGCAAAGGTAAGAAGAACGGCGAGAATGGGAGGGAAACAGGTGTGCCGCGCGATTTAGCAAATATAAATCACGCGGCACAGCGAACCGGTAGTAAAAAAATGCTTTAAAAGTAAAAAAAAAAAAAAAGTTCCGATTAATAGACAAGTATGTATAATTGTGTGGAAATATAGATTGTTAGTATGATGTTATGTATAAATAACATAAAAGGTTAAAAGAATTATATTATAATATTAACTTTAACATAATTTGTATTATCTTAAAGTGTTGAAAGGTATTTAGAACCAGTGATGTCATATCTATGTCCGATGTTTTTAATTTTGAATGATTAATAATAAAAAACTTTTTAAAAATTAAAAAAAAAAAGAACAGTGGGGGGGGAAAGAGGTGTGCTGTGCGATTTAGCAAATATAAATCGCGCAGCACAGCGAACCGGTAGTAAAAAAATGCTTAAAAACTAAAAAAAAAAAAAAAAGTTCCAACAATCAGCTGTGGGACAATCAGCTGTGCCCCGTGATTGTGGGATCTTTTTTTAAAACTTTTTTAGCATTTTTTTTTTACTACCAGTTCAGGCGAACCGGCCCGAACCGGTAGCATTTCACCCCTGGTCTCCAACGATAGCATCTCGCTGGCTAGGGAATTCTGGGAGTTGAAACCCACAAGTCCTAAAGTCGCCACGGTAGGAGACTCCCTGGTGTAAAAAAATATTTAAGCCGCCGTTACAGATCAAAGAGAAAAAAAATAAATTCTGTGGGGACTTAGGGGCATTTTGGCTGGTTTTATTGAACCCTGTTTTGGGATCGATTGTGCTTTTTTCTTCCCGTGTGAATAATACGATGAAGCTTGGGGTTAGCATTTCCAGAAAATACAGGATTGTTCCAGAAGGAGCAAATGAATTTGGAGGGACACCGGTTTTAATTGGTCCCAGATCAAACATGGTCTCTTCTCAGAATCCCTCAGTGCACCACATGTATTTCCCAGAATCCCTCAGTGCACATTTATTTCCCAGAATCCCTTAGTGCACCTCATTATTTCCCAGAATCCCTCAGTGCAACATATGTATTTCCCAGAATCCCTGAGGGCACCACATTATTTCCCAGAATCCCTCAGTGCAACATATGTATTTCCCAGAATCCCTCAGTGCACCACATTTATTTCCCAGAATCCCTCAGTGCACCACATTATTTCCCAGAATTCCCGAGGGCATCATATTTATTTCCCAGAATCCCTAGGGCACCTCATGTATTTCCCTGGTTTTCCATGCATCCCATATTTATTTGCCAGAATTCCTGACTATTTCCCAGAACCTATTTCTCAGAATCTCTGTGTGCGTCCCATTCATTTCCCAGAATCCCTCAGTACATCACTCTCGAGAACATCGGTCTGTTGCTATTGCAACCGGCAACAAATACCAGATCCGGCTTTCGTAAAACACCTCCCACCCCGGCATTCAGAAGGAGCAAGGTGGGCTCCTTCTCCTTCCTCCACCCGGCCTTCCCCAGAGCCCGGCTTCCGACCCGGCCTTCTTACCGAGCGGCATGCTGATACGCTCGCTGTCCCTTCCTCTGAGCTTGTTGCGCTTGAAGGTTCCCTTGCGCTTCTTCACGTGCGGCCGATCGCGGTTCATCTGCTGGATGAGGAGGCTGAGTTCGCGCTCAAAGACCTCCAGCTCCCATTGGGCCAGTTCGTGTTCCCGTTGGCGGAGAAATTCCTCCTGGGATTTCTGCTTCAGGGCCGCCTGCTTCAGCTCTTCTTCCCGGCTCAACAGCTCCTGGGGAGAGAAACGGATCCCGAACAATCCCCCATCTGTGAGAGAGGGAAACTCTGCCCCCACCCCCCGCCTGGAGGAGATCCTTGGATCCTCCGGTCATGATGTGATCTATAGTTTGATGTGGATTCTCGTCTTAAAGGAGTGGTTTCCTAGTAGCCTCCCATCCCATCTACAGATAGTCCTCAACTTACAACAATTCCTTTAGTGACTGTTCGAAGTTACAACAGCACTGAAAAAAAGGGACTTATGACTGTTTTTCACTCTTACGACGGTTACAGCATGAGATTTACGTTTGGATGTTTGACAACTAGTTCATAGTTATGACGGTTGCAGTGTCCGGGAGGGTCATGCAATCCCCTATGGCGACCTTCTGATAAGCATAGACAATGGGGAAGCCAGGTTTACTTAACAACCATTTTACTGTTGTGACCTAGGCTAGTCCTTCGGGATAATCACCAACCTTTATCTCCCTTGACACGCTGCCAAAGAACCTACTTGGCAAAGCCCCACGGAGTCCAGAATCAAACAGAGATGCCGACTGGGAACAGAATTAACAACGTTGCTTTCCTGCAAAAAGCCCACGTGCCTTTGCTCCTCTTTTAAGCCTTATGGGAGGGGCCAATCATCTCCAGGCCTTACTCCCGAGTCGTCCCTTTAGTTTTAACTGTTCTTGCTTTTTGGCAGCTCTGCGCATGCGCACACTAGGAACAGGCTTCTCCTGTTCCTCTTCCTCTCTGATATCTGACTCTGGAGGCTACGAAGTCCGTGCATCACTCTCAGACGGCCCTGGCCCCCTCTGCCTCCAAAGCACAGCCCTTGTCCGAGCCTTCCCCAAACTCCAGGACTGGCCCATGTTTCTCCCCAGCCTCCTCACTGTCTGACTCCGCTGCCAGCTCCTCAGGCTGCTGGCGGACCACAATAGTTACTAACTTCACTTAACAGCGGTGGCAAGAAAAGTCGTAAAATGGGGCAAAACTCGCTTAACAAATGTCTCACTCAGCGACAGAAATGTTAGGCTCAATTGTGGTCGTAAAATGAGGAATCCCTTTACATTTAACCCTTCCAAATATTCAGATCCTTTATCATTGTGGTTGCAGCTTCTAAACATGTTTGTTTTAGCATATTGGAAGAAGTGAATATTCGATTCACTTCTTGTTTTTTTTTTTTTTTAACGGGTGCAAAATTATTTACTTTCACCCACATGATTCGCATTCTGTGACATCACAGCCAACCCGCCGATGAGGTTGAAGCGAGAACGGGAAATCTCTGATAAACTTCCAGCCCATTTTAGTTGAACAGAGATGCTTCCCCTTTTGCCAAAAAGCAAAACATTTTGCATTGTTTTAAGTGTTTTCATTTGGTTTTTTTTTTATGTTTTACTATGTACAGGTATTCCTCGACTTACGACCAGAATTGAACCAGGAATTATAATAGTAAATCATGCAGATTTTTTTCAGCTGGCCATCACGTGAGCGATTTGATGCTTACGACATTTTTTTTTTTTTTTGTGGTGTCCACTAAAAGAAATACGTTCATAAAGTGGCCATTAAGCGAATCCATTGTCTGCAAAGGATCTTTTTTTTTGGTACAAACTGAAACTAAACCTTGGTTTCCGTCAATCTTGGTCACATGATTGCAGCAGGGCTCTGGCTGGATGTCAAGAAACCGAAATGCAGTCATGTAAATGTGGGGGCTTCATTGGAAGGTCTGATCCGGATTGTAAGTGCTATTTTCAGGATCTGTTATAACTTCGAATTGTCATGAAGCGAATGGTTGTAAGTCAAGGCCTACCTGTTTTTTAATTTTTAATTAATTAATTATAATTAATTAATTAATTTTAATTTGTTTCTGTGTTTTGCGATGTACTCCACCCAGAGTCAAAGACTGAGATGGGTGCCTATAGAAAACAGGACAATCAATCAATAAATCCACATTTTGTATCTGTGCCCCAGAACTGAAGGTAGGATCAGACAGAATGGATGAAAACTAACCAAGGATAGAAGCAACCTAGAACGAAGGAGCTAATTTCCTGACAGTGAGAACGATTAACCAGTGGAACAGCTTGCCACCAGAAATTGTGATGCTCTGTCACTGGAGGTTTTTTAAGAAGAAACTGGACAGCCATTTGTCCGGAATGATACAGATAGTCTTCAACATATGATCACAATTGAGCCCAAAAATTACATTGCTCAGAGAGACAGTTGTTAAGTGAATTTTGCCCCATTTTCCGATCTCCCTTCCTTCCACAGTTGTTAAGCGAATCATGGCGGCTGTTAAATGAGAAACATGGCTGCTAAGTGAATCTGGCTTCGCCCATCAACTTTGCTTGTCAAAAGCTGATCACATGACCCCGGGACACTGCGACCGTCATAAATATGAGTCAGTTGCCAAGTGTCCGGATTTTGATCATCGGGAAACTGCAGTGGACACGTAGCAGCTAAAGTCTGCTGAGCTCTGGTGGCTCAGCAGACTAAAGCACTGTTATTAACATCCACTTACATCTGCTGCCTGCAGTTACTGCAAGTTCAAATCTTACCAGGCTCAAGGTTGACTCGGCCTTCCATCCTTTCTAAGGTAGGTAAAATGAGGACCCAGATTATGGGGGCAATAAACTGACTTTGTATAAATATACAAAAGTATGAAGGCTATTGCTTAACGCATTGTAAGCCGCCCTGAGTCTCCGGAGAAGGACGGCATATAAATCAATTAAAAAAAAAAAAGTGTGTAAAACAGTCATAAGACACTTTTTACAGTCCTGTTGTAACTTCGGACAGTCACTAAACAAACTGTTGTAAGTCAAGGACTTGCATGTATAAGGGTGTCCTGACTTGAGCAGCTGTTCGGAAAGAGACACCCCCTCCCCTTTCTCCTCTGATTCTTACCTTCTCTTTTGCCCGCAGTTCGTCAAACATATCCTGGATCTCCACTTTCCAGTCGTCCTGCATGGAATGGAAGGATTCCTGTGGCAGGTCGTGTAGCACCTGCGTTTCGAGGACCGTCAGCTGATCGAGAATGGAGGCAAAGCTGGGGCGCGCGTGGGGGTCCTGCTGCCAGCACTCTGGTGGGGACCGACGTGGGAAGGCGACAGAGGAAGGAAAACAAAACAGAGAGGATTTAAATAACGTACTTGACCCTCAGCCGTCCCTTGGAGACTGTGCAACATCGAGGTGCCGGATCTTGTCTGCTATTGAACGCCATCTGGGAGTTTGTGCATAAGGTAGGGACCACGTTCTCCATCAGGGACAGCTTGAATGGTTAGAGGAAGAGAAGAGGAAAAAGGGGACTGTTGGAATAGCGTGTGGGGAGGACCTTGGGAGATGGAGCAAAGAGATGCTATCAAGGGAACAGTCAGATAAAAGACAGCCCTTACCTGCAGATTGGATGGAGAAAGGAGCTCAGAAGGGACTCTCCCTAGTTTCTCAGGATGTAAAATGGGGGAGGGGGGTGAGAATATAGATCTATGGTCAGAATCTGAGCAAGTTTGTGTCATGGTATGTGGGAAGACCTTGGGAGACGGAGTGAAGAGATGTGCCCAGTAACGGTCAGATAAGGGAATATAGCTCTCAGCTGTGTAACAAACAGGAAAAGAGGCTCAGAATGGACCCTCCCTAGTTTCTCAGGCTGTAAAGGAGGGGAAGGGAAGAATCTAGACCTATGGAAAGAGTTCAACCTTGTCAGGTTGTGCAAAGGGGAACACCTTGGGAGATGGAGCAAAGAGATATTGCCCAGGAATGGTCAGATAAGAGACAGCATAGCCTTCAGCTGCATAATGGATGGATAAAGAAGCTCTGAAAGGACCCTCCCTAGTTTCTCAGACTGTAAGGGAGTTGTGGGGGGCGGGGGGGGCACAGAATCTAGATCTATGGAAAAAGTTCAGACTGCAGGTATCTCTAAAAGACCTTGGGAGACAGCAAAGAAACACTGTTTAGGAACGGTCAGATTAGAGGCAGCATATCCTCAACTGCATAATGGATGGAGAAAGAGTCTCAGAAGGGACTATCCCTAGTTTCTCAGACTGTAAAGGGGTGCGGTGGGGGATATAGATCTATGAACAGAGATTAAGCAAGCATTTTCTAATGGTATGTGGGAAGACCTTGGGAGATGGAGTGAAGAGAGTGAAGAGACCTGCCCAGTAATGGTCAAATAAGGGAATATAGCTCTCAGCTGTGTAATAGACAGGAAAAGAGGCTCAGAAGGGACCCTCCCTAGTTTCTCAGGCTGTAAAGAAGGCGTGGGGAATAATCTAGATCTATGAAAAGAGTTCAGAGCGTGTCAGGTTGTGCAAGGATATGTGGGGAAGAGCAGAGGAACGGTCAGATAAGAAGCAGCCTAACCCCCAGCTGTGTAACAGGCAGGGCAAGAGGCTCAGAAGGGACCCTCCCTAGTTTCTCAGGCTGTAAAGGAGATGGCTATAATGGTATGTGGGGAAGACCTTGGGAGACGGGGCAAAGAGATGCTGCCAAGGGAATGGGCAGATAAGAGACAGCATAGCCCTCAGCTGCATAATGGATGTAAAAAGAGGCTCAGATTGGACCCTCCCTAGTTTCTCAGGCTGTAAAGTGGGGTGTGTGTGTGTGGAGAATCTAGATCTATGGAAAGAGTTCAGAGGGTGTCAGGCACATGGGAAAGAGTTTGGGAAACAAAGAGAGCAAAGAGAGGGACAGTCAGAATAAGAGACAGCTGAGCCCTAAGAAACTAAGTTGATACGTTAGTAACACGGGTTGTTAAGTGAACCTGGCTTCCCCATTGACTTTGCTCATCAGAAGGTTGCAAAAGGGGATCACACGATCCCGGGACACACTCTAACCATCATAAATATGAGTCGGTTGTCAAGCATCTGAATTTTGGTCGCATGATCATGGGGAAGGTCGTAAGTATTCAAAAACAGCCACATTTTTCAGTGCCGTCGTAACTTTGAACTGTCACTTAATGAACGGTCGTAATTCGAGGACTTATCTGTACTGGGAACACTGCTGAAAGCCTAGATTTAAACTGGGTTAAACACAAGAGAAGAGAAACATTTTAAAAGAGACTTTTTGTTTCAATTTAGCCAGGCGGTGCTCAAAATCCCCCATACGGCCTTCGAGATATTTTTTTTCTTACCCGTCATTAAGCGTGCAAAGGGTTCCGGGCACGTGGATGGTATGGGGAGGGTGAGTTTGTTGACGGCAACCCCGTAAGCCACGGCCAGCCCGTCAATTCCCCGGTATGGAACTTCACCGGTGAGGAGTTCCCACAGGAGCACCCCGTAACTGGAAGAAGAAGAAGGAACAAGGAAAAGATTATAGGCAGTTCTCAAACTTACAACCATTTATTTGGTTGGGACCTTGGAGGTCTTCTAGTCCAGCCCCTTGCTCGAGAAGGAGACCCTGTCCCATTTCAGGTAAGTGGCTGTTCGGTCTCTTCTTAAAAGCCTCAAGCGATGATGGGGCAAAACTTCAAAAGATCATTTAATGGAAAGTTATAAGTTGAGGACTAACCCCCATTAGTAGTTTACCCAATGGGCTGAAGGTTGACTCAGCCTTCCGTCCTTCCGAGGTCGGTAAAATGAGGACCCAGATTGTTGGGGGACAAGAGGCTGACTCTGCAAACCTCTCAGAGAAGGCTACAGAGCACTATGAAGCGGTATACAGGTAGTCCTCGACTTACGACTACAATTGAATGAAACGTTTCTGTTGCTAAGTGAGCCATTTCTTAAGCTTTATGGCATTTCTGGCCACCGTTGTTAAGTTGAATTGGTGCGGTTGATAAATTAGTCACACGGTTGTTAAGTGAATCCGGCTTCCCCGTGGACTTTGCTTTGTCAGAAGGTCGCAAAAGGGAATGACGTGACCTCAGGACACAGCAGCGGTCATATATACGAAGCAGCGCCTGAACGCTGATCACCTGATCGTGGGGATGCTGCAAAAGTCGTAACTGTCAAAAAGCGGCCAGGAATCAAATTTTTCAGTGCCGTTGTGATTTCGGACGGTCACTAAACGAACTTGTCATAAGTCGAGGACTACCTGTATAAGTCTAAGAAGAGCTATTGCTATTCACGCATTTAAATAACTCGTTTTCGTTCTGGCAAGTCGCCCATCAGTTTCACCACAATGTCAAAGGCAGACTTCGTATTCAACTGGTTCAGATCGGTTTGCCCGAACCGGCTATCCTATTTAAGGCATGCTTTTATAGCTGGGCGCATGTGCTAAGAAAACTCATGCACGGAAGGCAGGCGCATGAGCGAACCGGGCGCACGCACACAAGAAGCGAGCATGCATGCCCGCGGTGAACCAGTAGTAACATAACCTGAAACCCATCGCTGGTCAAAGGGCTCTGTGGCCAAACAGGATTTGAACCCCCGTCCTTCATCCATCCATAGAAACTTCCTTTTTATCTCTCCAACTTACCTCCAGACGTCGCTACCCCGGGAAAAAGTGGAGTTTTTGATGACTTCCGGCGCCATCCAGGCGTAAGTCCCGGCTGCGCTCATTTTAGTCGTTTTGTGCCATTCCCTGGCCAGACCGAAATCGGTGATCTTTAAGGTTTTCCCGCTGACCTCGCCGTCGTCCACGTATTCGCTCAACAAAACTGCGGAAGGAAAGAAAGAGAACGCTTTCAGACAACCTCCCCCCCAAAAATAGGCAAGGTGTGTTTGTTCTTAACAGCCGGTTCTGGAAACTCTTCTCTGTATAGTTAGTCCTCGACATATGACCACAAATCGAGCCTCACACTTCTGTTGATAAGCGAGATATTTGTGAAGTGAGTTTGGCCCCCATTTTACAATCTTTCTTGCCACATTCTTTAAGGGTATCGGTGCACTTCTTAAATTAGTGACACGGTAAGTGAACTGGGACACGGTGGCTCAGTGGTTAAGACGCTGACCTTGTCGATCGAAAGGTTGCCAGTTTGAATCCCTAGTGCTGCCTAACGGGGTGAGCTCCCGTTCCTTGTCTCAGCTTCTGCCAACCTAGCAGTTCGAAAGCACGTAAAAAAATGCAAGTAGAAAAATAGGGACCACCTTTGGTGGGAAGGGAACAGCGTTTTCCGTGCGCCTTTGGCCTTGAGTCATGCTGGCCACATGACCACGGAGACATCTTCGGACAGAGCTGGCTCTTTGGCTTTGAAGCAGAGAGCAGCACCGCCCCCTAGAGTCGGGAACGACTAGCACATACGTGCAAGGGGAACCTTTTTACCTTTAAGCAAACTGACATCATTCTCATTATGTCAATATGACATTAAAAATATAGGCATTCCTCAACTTAATAACCACAATTGAGTCCAACATTTCTGTTACTAAGTGAGACATTTGTTAAGTGAGTTCTGCCCCGTTTTACGACCTTTCTTGCCACAGTTGTTAAGCCAACCACTGCAGTTGTTAGCTTGGTCATATGGTTGTTAAGTGAATCCCATTGATTTTGCGGGTCAAAAGGGTCGCAAAAAGGGATTACATGACACTCCCCCCACCCCCCCGGGACACTGCAACGGTCATAAATGTGAATCAGTTGCCAAGTGTTTGAATTTCGACCATGTACCATGGGGTGGCTGCAACGGTCATAAGTGTGAAAAACGGTCATTGGTTCACAAACACTTGAATTTTGATCACAGGACCACGGGCAGGGGTGGGCTTCAAAAATTTTAGCAAGGGATTCTCTGCCCGGTTGCTGGGTGGGCGTGGCCATAGTGGGCGTGGAATAGTCGGCCTCCTGCACCATGGTATGGGAGGGGTGTTTTTGCCCTCCCTGGGCTCTGGAGGCTTTTCTCGAGCCTCCAGGAGGGCGAAAACAGCCTCCCCAGGCTCCGGAGGCCCTCTGGAGGCCGATTTCCAGGAGGCCCATTTTTTGCCCTCCCCGAGCCTCCACGCACACCCTGCATCCAAAATGGGCCACGTGGGGACTCCTGGGAGGGGAAGGGCGGGGTGGGTGGAGCCAGCCACGAGTGGGATTTGAGGGTTCTCCGAACTGCACAGAATCTTACCTAGAGGTTCTCCCGAACCCTCAGCGGCCCACTCCTGACCACGGGGGAAATGCTGCAACGGTCATCATTGTCTCTTTTTTCAACCCCATTGTAACTTTAAACGGTCACTAAATGAACTGTTGCAAGTTGAGGATTTCCCTGTCTAGGAAAACAAGCTAGCTAAAGTTGGTGAAATAATAACCCAGGTTCAAACCCAACCGAGCGCCGCAGCTCATAGGAAAGCAGCCCTCGTATCTTTTTCCACACGGTTATGTGAATTCAACCTTGGTGTTCTTTCTCCCTCCCTTTCAAACATGGCTCCAGCCCAGCCCTGGTTTCTCCTTGTTTTTTCCTTCCATTTTAGCCCAGCTTCGCTCAATTGCAATCAATTCCCCGAGAAGCCACCCTCGATAGCGATTCCTCGCAGCCGGAAAGGTTTCCTATGTTGGCTAGTTTAGTCACCATGCCAAGTTTCCTTCGCATTCTTGGCACACCAGAGGGCAGGAGCCGTCCCAAGCTCCGACTTAACATTGGCATCATTACAGCTGAATACAGAATAGGAGTCAGAAGAACAGAGACGGAAGGGACCTTAGAGGTCTTCTAGTCCAACCCCCTGCTCAGGCAGGAAACCCTATATCCGTGACGGCGAACCTCTGGCACACGTGCCACAGGTGGCACACGGGGCCATAACTGTGGACACACGAGCGTTGCCCTAGCTCAAGTCTAACGTCCATGCCAGCTGGTTTTCGGGACTTCTGGGCCCACCGGAAGTCAGGAAATGGGCCGTTTCCGACTTCCAGAGGACCTCCGGGGTGGGTGGGTGGGGAAGGCTGTTTTCGCCCTCCCCAGGCCCCAAGAAAGACTGGAGTTTGGAGAGGGTGAAAAACGGGCCTACTGGGCTCATCGCGTGACAAAAGCAGGGGTAGTGCGGAGGGGTTCATGTGTGCATGCGCGGGGGGCATTGAATTATGGGTGTGGGTATGTGGGCGCGTGACCCCCTGTGCTCCCCCGGCTTTTTTTTTTTTTTTTGGCTTTAATTTCTATGCTGCTCTTCTCCGGAGACTCAGGGCGGCTTACAATGCGTTAAGCAATAGCCTTCATACTTTTGTATATTTATACAAAGTCAGCTTATTGCCCCCACAAACTGGGTCCTCAATTTACCTACCTTAGAAAGGACGGAAGGCTGAGTCAACCTTGAGCCTGGTGAGATTTGAACTTGCAGTAATTGCAGACAGCTGGTGTTAATAACAGTGCTTTAGTCCACTGTACTACAGGCTCTTTTGGCACGCGACAGCAAAAAGGTTAGCCATCACTGCCCTATATACTGAAGCTAAATCTCTGCAGTGCTTCTCAGAAAATGTCACTTTATTCAAACAAGGTTAAAATAAAAAGCACCAAAATATTTAAACAACAACAACAAAAAAGACATTAACCCCCCCCCAAAAAAAGTATTAAGCGAATTCTAACACATCTATACACCTTACGTCAATCCTAGTTGAATGCTAATTAGTATAATTATTACAGCAATGTTTGTTTCCCACCCTTACGAAACAGGCCAAAAGAATTTCAAACTGTTAAACGACTAAATCTACTGATAAATTCTACAAACTACAATTAATCAGTGGAACAACTTGCCTCTAGAAGTTGTGAATGGTCCAAGTCTGGAAATTTTTAAGAAGATGTTGGATAACCATTTGTCTGAAGTGGTGTAGGGTTTCCTGCCTAAGCAGGGGGTTGGACTAGAAGACCTCTAAGGTCCCTTCCAACTCTGTTATTCTATTCTATTCTATTCTATGCTATGCTATGCTATGCTATGCTATGCTATGCTATGCTATGCTATGCTATGCTATGCTATGCTATGCTATGCTATGCTATGCTAT